CGTCAGCAAGTTGACAGGGACGTTAACATCCCCCCCCACCCCAAACCCCGAAGTTCACTAAGCATACATGACGTCAGCAAGTTGACAGGGACGTTAACATCCCCCCCACCCAAACCCCGAAGTTCACTAAGCATACATGACGTCAGCAAGTTGACAGGGACGTTAACATCCCCCCCCACCCCAAACCCCGAAGTTCACTAAGCATACATGACGTCAGCAAGTTGACAGGGACGTTAACATCCCCCCCCACCCCAAACCCCGAAGTTCACTAAGCATACAAGTGCATACATGACGTCAGCAAGTTGACAGGGACGTTAACATCCCCCCCCACCCCAAACCCCGAAGTTCACTAAGCATACATGACGTCAGCAAGTTGACAGGGACGTTAACATCCCCCCCCACCCCAAACCCCGAAGTTCACTAAGCATACATGACGTCAGCAAGTTGACAGGGACGTTAACATCCCCCCCACCCCAAACCCCGAAGTTCACTAAGCATACATGACGTCAGCAAGTTGACAGGGACGTTAACATCCCCCCCCCCCCCAAACCCCGAAGTTCACTAAGCATACATGACGTCAGCAAGTTGACAGGGACGTTAACATCCCCCCCCACCCCAAACCCCGAAGTTCACTAAGCATACATAACGTCAGCAAGTTGACAGGGACGTTAACATCCCCCCCCACCCCAAACCCCGAAGTTCACTAAGCATACATGACGTCAGCAAGTTGACAGGGACGTTAACATCCCCCCACCCAAACCCTTCAAAAAAGCCAAAAAGGGGTTTCGTTACCAGTTGCCTGGGGACGGCGGGTACTAAAATGGGGGACCGGGATCCCCAAATCATCCATTTTTACTAGGATTTTCCATAAACCATCCAGCTATTGGATGGCTAGTTTCCTCCATAGTGTCCCTATCGACCAAAAACAGGCTATCCAATCTTCATCTTCCCAGTCGTGTTTATCAAATGGCCATTTTATATGGGAATGACCTATAAAGGATTGTCATTTTGTATATACCTGGGTAAATTAAAATATGTCACTAACCTGAATAGTTCGGCCATAAAAGGGGATGATTTCCCTAAAATAAACCATGATTCCAGGGTTCGCGAGAACAGGGTTCGGTCGTTATAATTTACATCAAAATGGCCATTTTCCCAGACCACAAACCTCCCATCCCAATGGGCCCAATGAATCGATTCGTCGCCTTGTACACTTCTGTGAGATCGCCCAGGCCGGCGGCTTCCTCGACGAGACGTCGGGCCTCGGAAACGGGGTTCCACCGTGCGAACTGGTGACTGCTTAAGCATGGAATGAAGCAACAAATCATCAAATCATCACACGCCCCATATATTCAATGGGAAAATCTATGGTTTCCTGTAGATTTTCCCATATTTTCCCATATTTAATGGGAAAATCTATGGTTTCCTGTAGGTTTTTCTTTAAACCAGTCCATTGAGGAAAGGAATTATCATGGCCAATCTTGGATACGCAAAAAAATGACAAATTCTTAGCTGGTGAACAAAGCATAATCCCATTGATATCAAAAGACATCAAAAGACTAAAGGATCAAAGTACCCATTGGGGTGGTTATTAATCCTGACCATGATTCCAGGGTTCGGTCAGGTGACTAGAATTGACCCAAATCAGTGAGATTTGATCATCAACTGGTGAATTTACCGGCAAAATTCAAGCACACCATTTTATGTCGGCCTGAATTGAAACGGGGGGTTGGGATCTATCGACAAAATGAATCAGGATACAGCACAGAAAAATGTGGATGCCTCCTGGCAGAGCAATTGAGGATTCAACCATGTTCCAAAAGAAACAAGAGTGCTACAACGAACACATAGTTGTGGGAACAATCTTGATACAAAAGTGGTTGGTTGTTTCAACTCATACAAAACAATCTGAAAATCCACTTTGGGGATTGGAAAACATGATTTGAAACCACCAAACAGATAAAAATGAGCCATGAAGTTCATACCCAAGTCCCATCCCATGAAATAGTGGTTGCTTCATAGGCATCCCCGAATGAAACTGTTTTTTTCGGTGGTTCTACAATATGCCAATATGCCAGGGCTGCCAGGACATATCCCTAATTTGCACCAGGTAGGTCAATCAACCACCTCTACAATCAATGAACCATAACTGGTTGGTGCTTTTAACATCTTTTAACCATCTTGAAAAATATGAGTCAATGGGAAGGATTATCCCATATATTGGCCGAAGGAAGTTTAGAAGTGAAACTTCCGACAATATGGACAGTTGAAAAGCAGAGGTGAGAAGAGTCAGAAGAGAAAAGATCAGAAGAAAGAAGATGCAGATGCGCGAAAAGGTAGGAAAGTCGCGAAACACTGTGTTTTTCCAATGATTTGTGGCTCCGGAGGGTCGAAAAGTAGGCTCGCTAAAGCGGCGGGTGCGGAGCCAGCTGGCCAGATGAGAGATGAAAAGTTGCACGCCGTTGTGGCGCGAAGCACATTTCGAAGTCAAAATGTACAAAACACACCAGCTTCGGACCACTTTTGGAAGTTGAGATGTCGAAAAAGTGCACGCCGTTGTGGCGCGAAGCACATTTCCAAGTCAAAATGTACAAACCACACCATTCTCGGACCACTTTTGGAAGTTGAGATGTCGAAAAAGTGCACGCCGTTGTGGCGCGAAGCACATTTCCAAGTCAAAATGTACAAAACACACCAGGTTCGGACCACTTTTGGAAGTTGCGATGTCGAAAAAGTGCACGCCGTTGTGGCGCGAAGCACATTTCGAAGTCAAAAGTGTAAAACAACTGAGGGTTTTGAGCCTTTTTTGACGTGAAGATGTCGAAAAAGTAGACACTGATTAACTTAACTAACTTGACTAACTTAACTAACTTCACTAACTTAACTACCCTAACTTCGACGACAACAGCAACAGCAACAGCAACAACAACAACAACACCAACACCAACACCAACCACAACAACTACAACTACAACAACTACAACAACTACAACTACAACAACTACACAACAACTACAACTACAACTACAACTACAACTACAACTAGAACTACAACTACAACAACAGCAACAACAACAACAACAGCAACAACTACAACTACAACAACTACAACAACAACTACTACTACTACACTACACTACACAACAACTACAACCACACAACAACTACAGCTACAACTACAACAACAACTACTACAACTACAACAACAACTACTACAACTACAGCTACAACTACAACAACAACAACAACTACAACTACAACAACTACAGCTACAACTACAAAACAACTACAGCTACAACTATATGACTGCAACTACACTACACTAATTACATTACACCACAACTACAACTCCACTACGCTACAACTACAACTACAGTTGCAGTACATCACACTACATCCAGCAGTTGTGGGTGATGTGACCACTGCAACCATTGCAACCATTCCAGCAAACACAACTCCAACCACCTTTCGGTCAATCAGTGGATTCGCTCTGCCATCCGTGATTCACAACAACCAACGTCTCCTATAGGTTTCCTATTTTTGAAACTTCCGCCACCGCCTTGTGCGGTACTACTGGTATATATTGTGGAAAACAAAAAATGTTTGAAACCACCAACCAGAAAATTTCTGGATTCTATTCCATTGTTCGTCTTCAAAAACCCTACTTGATGACTTGATGGCAAAAAAAAAAAATTACCCATCAAATGCATGGATTCCCTTACTAACCATCATTCACAACCAATCTTTCTGGCAAACATTGCAAAAATATGCTAAAATGGATCAAAATAGTAGACATCAAAAATCCCCATGACTCATCACCAATTAACAGTTGCATATTATCGATGGCTTAATACGGGCTGGTAAATGTCCTATTTTTTTACATCACCCAACAACTATTGCATGGGCATACTTCATCTCCAACAGATACGGCTCTTTTCAGGTGATGTTCAAAATCCCGAAAAAGGGATACCCCGGGAATTTAGCGTAGCCATGGAAAATGACCATTTCGTTCGTGATTTTCCAGAGCAAACTACCAGAGACAAAATAGTACAGGAAAACCATAAATTAATATCATTTATCACTATGGAAAATTCTTCGTAATTGACTAACTTTTAACTATATTGATGCCCTCTACCTGGTGAAACTGTCATATAGCCATTACAAGCGGGTACCAACCCCTTCCCCACCTTCATCACTGTGAGGATAGCCCAATCGTGCACGCCACCTGCAAAGGTTTGGAAGGTACCCGGAAGGTGCTCAAACATGGCTAGTTGTAGGAAAAATAACTTTTATAGAGTATTTTCGCAGCTAGAAACCTTTATTTGTAGGGGATTGTGCATGTAGTTTCCTGTGGAATTTCCCATATATTTTCCCGCAAAACATGAGGGTTTTGTAGCATGTCCAAAAATGATGGCAGGCGTGGGACATTTGAAGAGGATCTGCAAAGATGCATTTTCCGTGGCAGGCGCAGTACAAGAGACATCTTCATCAGAGCAGTTAGGAGGTCCGGGCGCTGATTTCCTGAGAAGGGTTACATTTTGGAGCCTCAGATCTTCAGGTTTGCTGAGATGATTTTGCGTGACAGGTGCAGCACTTCGTATGACCTGGCATCACTTTTTTGTGGCAGGGGCAGTACTTTAGACAAGCAGACTGGAAAAATCGCAAAACGCATTGGTACGAGGCCGTCAGCTCTGCACTCAACTTTCCATATTTGAAGGAAGTCTCGCAGAATTCTTTCGTTTTTGATGTTGTCATCTTCGAAAAATGAGGAAGTCGCGCAGAATTGCTTCGTTTTTGATGTTGTCAACTTCGAAAAATGAGGAAGTCTCGCAGGATTGCTTCGTTTTTGATGTTGTCAACTTCGAAAAATGAGGAAGTCGCGCAGAATTGCTTCGTTTTTGACGTTGTCAAGTTCAAACATTGAGGAAGTCTCGGAGAATTGCTTCGTTTTTGACGTTGTCAAGTTCAAACATTGAGGAAGTCTCGCAGAATTGCTTCGTTTTTGACGTTGTCAACTTTGAAAAATGAAGAAGTCTCGCAGAATAGCTTCGTTTTTGACGTTGTCAAGTTCAAACATTGAGGAAGTCTCGCAGAATTGCTTCGTTTTTGACGTTGTCAACTTTGAAAAATGAAGAAGTCTCGCAGAATAGCTTGGTTTTCAAGCTTGCAGATAGACAAAGAGATAGATAGATAGATAGATAGATAGATAGATAGATAGATAGATAGATAGATAGATAGATAGATAGATAGATAGATAGATAGATAGATAGATTGATTGATTGATTGATAGGTAGATAGACAGATAGATAGATAGATAGATAGATAGGTAAATAGATAGGTAGATAGGTAGATAGATAGATAGATGGATAGGTAGGTAGGTAGGTAGATAGATTAGATAGATTAGATAGATTAGATAGATTAGATAGATTAGATAGATTAGATAGATTAGATAGATTAGATAGATTAGATAGATTAGATTGATTAGATTAGATTAGATTAGATTAGATGAGATGAGATTAGATTAGATTAGATTAAATAGATAGATAGGTAGATAGATAGATAGATAGCTAGATTGATAGATAGATAGGTAGGTAGATAGATAGATAGCTAGATAGCTAGATAGATAGATAGATAGATAGGTAGAAAGATTGACAGATAGGTAGATTAGATTAGATTAGATTAGAATCGATTAGATTAGACTAGATTAGATCAGATCAGATTAGATTAGATGAGATGAGATTAGATTAGATTAGATTAGATGAGATTAGATTAGATTAGATTCGATCGATAGATAGATAGATATTCTGAAAAATATTAGTCGTTTGCCAGAGGGTAATAGGCTTGTCCGAAATTTTCCCCTCAACCGCCTCAACTCCCCAGAGCTTGGTGCCAGCCGCTGCGCCTGGTCCTACTTTTTCACTTGACAGATTTAGTTGCTGCAAAATCTGACAAAACAGCATGGTTAAATAGTTCAAAACTGAGGTAATTTGAAAGTTTCCCGTTTTTTGCCCGCAACCATCGAAGATGAACATCAATCATCGTCCCATTCGAATTTAATGATTTCGGATGATTTCCCCGATTTTAAGAGAAATCGAAGTCCTTTACCCTCTGGCCAACAAACATAGCTATTGAAAATGGCCATAGAAATAGTATGAAATAGTGGATTCACCCACTAAAAATGGTGATGTTCCATCGTTTTTTGTAGGTTTACCAGAGGGTATATTCCATATTTAAATACCCAGAACCTCCAAAATTATGGGCACATATCCCAATCGATCGCTCATTTCAAAACTGCTTTGTTCCATATCTTGGTTGGTTACCCAACTTGCGAGGATCACCAGTCTCTAGACAAACCAGATGCTTGGAGAATCATCCTTAGTAGCTGATATGTGGGGTTCATAAGTCCCCTGATAAATCTCCTATCTGGAATATTCCCATTAACTCGCTTATAAGAGCCAGTTATGATGCTTGGGATGTTGGTTTTCCCATGAAAACCTCCATTTCATGGGATTTCCATGGGTTTCCCAGATAGCCAGGTTTGATTACCAGCTAACTACCACCATCCCTTGAAGCCCAAGTGGCTCTCTGTGGCTCGCTGTTGTGCAGATTCACTGAAGAGGGACAGTGGGGCACCCCTGCGACGCTCGGGAGATCTTTCATGATCTCTCAATGCCAATATTGTCATAGTTCAAATTCTTCGAGAAAAAATCCAACACAGCAAAAATATGAGAAACAAGGCAACAAACAGTGTTTTTGTTTATGTTTGTCATGTTCACGCCTGTGCCAAGCCTAGATCAAACCTGTTCAGTGTTTATTGGTCCCATGTTGTGACAGTTAGGGTGGCGTTCAGAGAACAAAGTCGAGTCCAGTGTTCCAACATGACGGCTACATGACATGTGGTAAAAATAGAGTATGGACTGTGTGTCCAAAATGGCCAAAAAAAAGAAGAAGCCATTATAGCTCGGTATAGCCTCCATTTAAGCTCAACAAACGTTAAACATTGCCCCAAAACCAAGAAATGAGCCAAACATAGGCCCAAAACAACCGCGCAATAGGATTTATAGGAGCGTCTTGGAACTTTGTGAAGTCTAGGCTTAACCGGAAAAACTCACAAAGCTTCTAATGGTCTCACAATGAATTTCTCACATCTAGAGAACAAAACGTTGGTTTGACCCATTCAGTTGATCCCCATGGCTTTGTCCATAGGATATCCTCTGGGAAGGTTTTCCTTGGCCCACCCGGCCATTTAAACATAATCCAAATTAAACATACATTTAAAATCATTTAAATATACAGATGGAACTGGTGTTTCATACTACCTCCGGGGCCTTGTGGTCTGGCCGACCCTCCGCATATTTAAAAGTCGTTACTGTATGGATAATAAACACTGATGTACAATGATTATACAATGATTATAACCAGTGGATGAGGTACCCTGTTTTCAGACAAAGCCCCATGTTTTATCATTCTCTTTCTCCATTTGTTTCAAAAAACCTGAGTTCCCCAGCCACGTGGCTGTCGCAACTTGATGCTCCGCATCCAATTTCTGCTGCGACCGCTGCAGCGATCGGCAGAGCTGCTCGCAGCCCACATGCTGAGCCTAGGCCACTGCGGCTACTGGTGAAGCAGTGCAAATTGGATCAAATAGCAACCCCCAAAAAGACAGTAGCATCTAAAATCATACAACAAAATGGTGGCAAAATGACATTAAGTCATATGAAATCATATGAAATCAATGTTCCATCTTTTTGGTTGCTGCAAAATATGGACATGAACATACATGAACCCACCAACAAATAGGAATTTGCAGTAAACCAAACTGGAGGTATTACTCAAAAGCAAATGGGGATTTACCCAACAAACAATGGAATCTAACTGACAACAATTGCAGGTGCGCATGGATGTAAGCAACCGAAGTTGGGGATATGTGTTTTTCAATCTCTGGTACAAAACAGACTAAACAAGTTTGAGCCACAGTTACCTTACAGTGGGTCAAATTTCCTTCTACATTAGGTTTACAATGGGTCAACAATGGAACGATATATGAGTCATCACTGATTATTGATTATCGATGTTCATGAGTGATCATTGATGGTTATTAAATGTCACTATTGACGAGATCCAGGATATCCGTTAGATTATGTTAGATTACTACATATATATATATATATCACATTCATATCCTATATTAATATCCCTATTATATTTTTTTTTTACCATCTGGTGATTTAACGGAGCTATTGAGAATCACCCGTTTTCAGAGGTAAATCATCAGAAATCATCTAGCTAGTTAAACGATTAAAATGGGCCATTTTGCATAGCAAACTCTTGAAATAACCAGAGGATAAAATGTCACCATGAACAATGACGCCTGAGAGACAGAGGCTGGTTCCCGAAGAAAAATTGCCTTTTTTCCCGAGAGCGTCTGAGCGCAGGGTTCTTCCAATAGTGGGGGTCTGTATCTCATCTTCTCATCTTCACAGCTTCTCATCTTCACATCTTCTCATCTTCACAGCTTCTCATCTTCTCATCTTCTCATCTTCACATCTTCTTCATCTTCACATCATCTTCACATCTTCTCATCTTCACATCTTCTCATCTTCACAGCTTCTCATCTTCACATCTTCTCATCTTCACATCTTTTCATCTTCGCATCTTCTCATCTTCACATCTTCTCATCTTCTCATCTTCGCACCTTCTCATCTTCACACCTTCTCATCTTCACAACTTCTCATTTTCTCATCTTAACATCTTCACATCTGCTCATCTTCACATCTGCTCATCTTCACATCTGCTCATCTTCACACCTTCTCATCTTCACATCTCTTCTCATTTTCTCATCTTAACATCTTCACATCTGCTCATCTTCACATCTGCTCATCTTCACATCTGCTCATCTTCACACCTTCTCATCTTCACATCTTCTCATCTTCACAGCTGCTCATCTTCACATCTGCGCATCTTCACATCTGCTCATCTTCACATCTGCTCATCTTCACATCTTCACATCTGCTCATCTTCACATCTGCTCATCTTCACATCTTCTCATCTTCACATCCTCACATCTTCACATCTTCACATCTTCACATCTTCTCCTCTTGCCCTCTTGCCCTCTTGCCCTCTTGCTCTCTCCTTCTTTTCTATTTCTCTTCTGAAGGCGGGGGCAGGGCAGTGCAAACGAGACGGCACGAAACGCAACCCTTTCGCACGAAATGAAGGTCGATCGTCAAAAACTGAGGAGAAAGTGCGATTTTACTTGTCCCGGAGCAACCCTTTCGCACGAAATGAGGGTCGATCGGCAAAAACTGAGGAAAAAAGTGCGATTTGAGTTGTGCCGGAGCAACCCTTTCGCACGAAATGAGGGTCGATCGGCAAAAACTGAAGTAAAATTGCGATTTGACTTGTGCTGGAGCAACCCTTTCGCACGAAATGAGGGTCGATCGGCAAAAACTGAGGTAAAATTGCGATTTGAGTTGTGCCGGAGCAACCCTTTCGCACGAAATGAGGGTCGATCGGCAAAAACTGAGGTAAAATTGCGATTTGACTTGTGCTGGAGCAACCCTTTCGCACGAAATGAAGGTCGATCGACAAAAACTGACGTAAAATTGCGATTTTACTTGTCCCGGAGCAACCCTTTCGCACGAAAAGATGGTCGATCGCCAAAAACTGAGGAGAAAGTGCGATTTTACTTGTCCCGGAGCAACCCTTTCGCACGAAATGAGGCTCGATCGCCAAAAACTGAGGTAAAATTGCGATTTTTCGTGTGCCGGAGCAACCCTTTCGCACGAAATGAGGGTCGATCGGCAAAAACTGAGGTAAAATTGCAATTTTATTTGCCCCCGAGCAACCCTTTCACACGAAATGAGGGTCGATGCGCAAAAACGGAGGTAAAATTGCGACTTTACTTGTGCCGGAAAGCGTCTGTGTGTAAAAGCGTCTGTGTGTAAAAGCGTCTGTGTGTAAAAGTGTTTGTGTGTAAAAGCCTCTGTGTGTGAAAGCTTCTGTGTGTAAAAGCGTCTGTGTGTAAAAGCGTCTGTGTGTAAAAGCGTCTGTGTGTAAAAGCGTCTGTGTGTAAAAGCGTCTGTGTGTAAAAGTGTTTGCGTGTAAAAGTGTTTGTGTGTAAAAGCCTCTGTGTGTAGAAGCGTCTGTGTGTTTCTGTGTAAAGATGTTTGTGTGTAAAAGTGTTTGTGTGTAAAAGTGTATCTGTGTAAAAGGGTTTGTGTGTAAAAGTGTCTATGTGTAAAAGCTTCTGCGTGTAAAAATCTTTGTGTGTAAACGGGTTTGTGTGTAAGAGTGTTTCTGTGTAAAGATGTTTGTGTGTAAAAGTGTTTGTGTGTAAAAGTGAATCTGTGTAAAAGTGTCTGTGTGTAAAGGCTTCTGTGTGTAAAAGTGTTTCTGTGTAAACGGGTTTGTGTGTAAGTATGTTTCTGTGTAAAGATGTTTGTATGTAAAAGTGTTTGTGTGTAAAAGTGCATCTGTGTAAAAGGATTTGTGTGTAAAAGCTTTTGTGTGTAAAAGTGTCTGTGTGTAAAAGGGTTTGTGTGTTAAAGCGTCTCTGTGTAAAATGGTGTAAGTGCAGAAGGGTTTTTGTGTAAAAAAGGAGATGGCAAAACACCTTGGTTGGGGAGCCCCAAAGCACACAGCCCTCATGACATGTTTATACATGCTGGTTTCGAGTCAGATCATTTGATTCACCCCCCCGTCGGATTGCTGAGGTGGCCACGACGACGATGACTTTGCTGGGAAAACATGGGCCGGCCTATGTGTAAAAGCGTCTGTGTGTAAAAGCTTCTGTGTGTAAAAGCGTCTGTCTGTGTAAAAGTGATTGTGTGTAAAAGCGCTTGTGTGTAAAAGTTTCTGTGTGTAAAAGTGTCTATGTGTAAAAGCTTCTGTGTGTAAAAGCTTTTGTGTGTGAAAGTGTTTGCGTGTAAACGCTTCTGTGTGTAAAAGCTCCTGTGTGTAAAAGGGTCTTTGTTAAAAGTGTCTGTGTGTAAACGCTTCTGTGTGTAAAAGCTCCTGTGTGTAAAAGGGTCTTTGTTAAAAGTGTCTGTGTGTAAAAGCGTCTGTGTGTAAGAGTGTCTGTGTGTAAAAGCGTCTGTGTAAAAGCGTCTGTGTGTAAAAGCTTCTGTCTGTAAAAGCTTCTGTGGGTAAAAGCTTTGTGTGTAAAAGCGTCTGTGTAAAAGCGTCTGTGTGTAAAAGTGTCTGTGTGTAAAACCGTCCGTGTGTACAAGCGTCTGTGTGTAAAAGGGTCTGTGTGTGAAAGTGTCTGTCTGTAAAAGCTTCTGTATGTGAAAGCTTTTGTGTGTAAAAGCTGCTGTGTGTAAAAGCTTCTGTGTGTAAAAGCTTTTGTGTGTAAAAGCGTCTGTGTGTAAAAGCTCCTGTGTGTAAAAGTGTTTGCGATGCAAACTATTGTCTTGTACTTGTGCTATATTGTCTTGTTACTAGTCTTCTCGACTGCCTATAACACATCTTTAATATAATGTTTTGTAATATGGTGTCTCCATACTAACAAGAGAAGACCCTGCTCCTCTACGCTCTCGGGCCATCCGTCGTCTAGTTATACTATTTAAATGTAAGAAAATGCTGGCAAATCACTGGAATTTAGGGTATACCTAGTTTCAGACAAATCCAAGTGACCAACGGCCCCAAAAAGACTGGCTATGCCTCCAATGATCCACGCTTTCTTTCCCACCCCTGCAGCACCCGGGCCTCTGAGTACCCTGGTCCTTCCCAAGAGGCTCATTTTGAATGCCCTCCGCAAACCAATCTAATCTGATTTGATTTAACCTGATCTGATCCGACTGAATCAGATTCCATCCTCGATTTGTAGAAAGGAAACCAGTGGTGGTTTATCAGTATCACAGTATCACCACGGATTTGCACCTGACATCAATCATAGTGATAGCATTTTTTCTTTGGAAACCTCTATGAGATCACCAAAACAATCAATGGGTGAAGTGACAAATTCCGACCAGCAAAAGGGGTGATGCACGGTAAATCGTCCCAACTGGAAAAACATTGTGCTACAGCTCGATGGATCAAAATCACCCAACCAGGCCCTACTCTTTTAAACATTATGTCATAGCAGTTGAGTAGATGTTCCCAAGCGAAGAATTCGCGCTGGAACAAGCCCCGCTCTAGAACCTCGACCTTCCACCACGCGACGCTTCATATCATTTGTTACATAATTTCCTATATTGGCATACTTTAATTACTATTGTACATTAGTATCCAATAGCATCCAATGTTTTATTGGGAAAATAATGGGAAAGTCACGAACTCACGAACTTGACTATGTTTCACATTCTCCCACATTATTTCTATGTGGGAATCCCAAAATGCGTATGTTTTTCCGAAAAAAGGGAACCTCAAAAATCCCCGTGGTTTAGTATTTGGATGTTATACTGGTATACGGTATACCCCATTTTCATACAGACACACACACACACTTGGATACACCCCGAAGGGAGAGGGTGAAATGAGATGAGATGAAATCATATAATGTCATGTTATCATGTTAGCATGTCATGTCGGCTCATTAAACCCCATCAGACCCCTATGAATAACCCCGCTGAACGCCCATTGAACCTCATTTTAACCCCTGTGAATAGTGGCAAGGTCCCCGCGACCTAGTAAAATCATAGGGAGGTTTCCGAAAAAATAGGGTACCCCCAGTCATCATCCATGAAAAAACCTTGCGGATTTTCCATGAAATAAATCATCCAGCGAGCTTGGGGTATCCCTCTGGATTCACCCTGGATATATAGGGGTGCCCCAAAAACGCTGGATGGTTTATTTCAGGGAAACTCCAAAAAAAACAATAGATGATGACTGGGGTATCCTATTTCTTCGGAAACCTCCATATAACCTATGATCCGAGGGATGAACCAAGTAGGGACAAAACCCGGCACTTTTCGGTCCTGCTTGGCCCCTCAGCGCCTGGCGAACGGACTCATCCTGGGCAGAGCTTTCCTCTCATGGAGATATGCGTAACATTAAAAATGCCATCACTTATGAAGGTTTCAGAGGGGTTTGAGTTGGTTTTATGGGGTTTCAGAGGGGTATAATCGGGTTTTCATGGACTATAATAGGGGTTTGACTGGGTTTAAGTAGGTGTTTTGGGGGTTAAGACGATTTGATTGGGGTTAATGGTGGTGAATAGAATCTAATGAGGGCTTCATGGTGACCTATCGGGTGTGTCTTGCACTTTCACCAAAAATATCTCACGACAGAGCGAATGGAATGAGGTACTCTATTTCCAGACAAACGCATTCACACAGACTTGGACAATCCCATGGGAATCCATCATTCCTAGATCAGCTTCTGATGGTTTCCCAGTGGGTTTTCCATATGTATCTGAAAATTACTAGAGGCTACTGCGGCTGGGAAGAAACGATGGTGCTTTGGTTTAGTGATGAACTTTGCAATTCAAACATAGGTCCTCCATGGGCACGGGATGGGTGATCCCGTTCCCGGGCCATCATCAAGAGGAAGTTTCAATGAAATGGTGACTTGGATTTAGTGTTGAATAGGATTTTTCGGGGCTTAATGATGTTTAATAGGGGGGGGGCATAATTGACCAAAATACTGAAGCAAATGATGGCAACTGGTATGCCACACTGACCCATCGATTCTTCCTGAACGGACATCATTGGCACAATGTCGCACACCAAAGACGGAAAAAACTCCTACCTCATCTATCCTAATTCTACCATTTAAGGGTGATTGTTCAAATCGAAAAAATGCAAAGGGTGAATGAAATCACCAAGAAAACCAAAAAAATAGGGTCCGACAAAAATTGCCAAGAGATATCAGATAGACGATGCCCGCCTCAACTTCATCTCCAGCCTTGCAAGATACTTGGATGTGCGGGCCCCACGAAGACGATCCATGGATTAAGTAGGATTTAAGTGGTGATATTCCATATAGAACTGGGGGTATAGATTATTTACTGTACTAAGTGGGATGAACCCCCCAAGTACCAAGTATTTGAAAGCACCAACCAGAAACTCTCAGCTGAGCTGGTCACGGAGCGCAAGGCATGTGCTTCCACGGTGGGTCTGCCCTCGCAGCTGCCGCTTTTTAGCAGATGCGCCTCCTGCTTCTTGTCCACACACTTCATCTGTGAAGTGAAGTTTCATTTGCGGGAGCACATCACGAGTTCTGTGACTCGTGAATGCAAATGATCAATAATAATCCATGTCCTTAAATCATCCGACACCGAAACGGTTCTGGCTTTAAGATGGAGTGGAGTGAAAGAGACGTTCATGCCGTCTTGTTTTTCATTGTTCATTTTTTCCTCATGTATTGTTCAGGTGCAATGCCACTTCCCTTCCTCTCACTCCAGCGGAACCCTTTCACCGCCATACATGGATCAAACCCATTGCTATACATTGCCAAGTCACCCCAAGTCAAAAATAAAATAAATCAGCACCAGAATCACTCCCTGGTACCTCTGAAAACTCTAAACTTCAAACTGGTGCAACAGGAGGCAACATGAAATGCGAGCATGCTCGAAAGCACTCCCTGTAAGAGTTCCTCCCGTTGTAGGCAATACAGTTTCACATCTAATTCATTGGGGCATTGGAGGGTCGAGCTATCTACAAACTAGGTTGCAAGGAACTTTGCGGAAAGTGCCAGGCTTGTGCTTGAACAAACCCTTGAACCACAACTCATCACAACGTCACAACTCACATCTCGCGATGCACATCGTTCTTGCGACCCACAAACATTCCCTGGATGATTTTGCCTTCTCGGGCCAGTTTCGCCATGAACTCAAAGTCAGAGATCAATTTATCATAGGCCTCTTCATCCCATCCCAACAATTTCTTGGCATCGTACACTGCTTGCCGCTTCAGCATGTGCACATAGCTGTCCATGGCAGGTGAGAAGCGACCACTGTTCTCCGCGATCTCAACCTCAAAGCCTGCCTTCTTCAGCATCTGCGCATACTCCTCAACAGTGGGGATGGCAGGGAATGTCATCAGGCTCAAGAATCTCTGCGCCTCAGGGTCTGATAGACCTTCACCCTCGATCCAGTCGGTAAACATCACTTTTCCTCCGGGCTTTACGATGCGAGCTGCTTGGTCGATGATTAGTTGTTTGTCAGGCATGTAGCACCAAGCATCCTTGCTGTACACAAAATCGGCAGAGGCATCCTTGGTGCTGTGGCGGTCAGGTTTCTACAAGGCCAAGGGTAAGAGGCGACCCTTTGTGACTTAGTTGGGGGCTTGGGTTTCTGTCCAGAAATGTTCTTAGACAAATTGTCAATGTGCAATATCTGTCAAGATGAGTTGACATGAATTGACTGCCTTCATACAGCAACAAGTAGAAGACTGCACTTTCAGAGAACTATGCTTAGAACATGTCCCGAAACAAAGTGACACGGAGTTGAAACAATGCGCCACCATGCGCTACCACACCCTCAAAGTCTTGTGAAAACACGCACAAACCATCCCAAACTATGTATTGCAAAGTTCACCATGGTCATGGAAGGCCAGAACATGCCAGAACTTCCAAATCCCAATCCAGACAAGGCATGACAAGGATCCGGGAGCCCATTCTCCAAAGAGTTCTTGTTGATGAACTTGATCTTGTCACTGAGCCCCTCCTCCGCTGTCCTCTTCCTGCCAGTCTCCACCACGGACTTAGTGAGGTCCACTCCGATCATGGAGTCCACTCCTGCGAGGCGAACCAAGGCGCGCATGCCTCCACCATTGTTGCTGTTCAACTCAACTCCCTTCATCCCTGACCCCACATGAGCCCTCTGAGCTAGCTCCAAGGTGGAAGATGCTGCGCCAATGTCAATCTGCTTCCCCATCACCAGTTCCCACACACCCTGCTCCGGACCACTGTAGCACTTGGCAACGGCATCCGCGTTGGCTGCTTCTTGGTCGGCCAGAATCTTCATAGCATAGGAACTGCACCAAAGTGTCGACAACACGGCGAGCTGCACCAACACCATGGCTATCAGAGGAGACGCGCCAAGCCGGGCAAAGCCACGTCAAAAGTGCGAGACAAAGCAAACTAAACTGTTTCAGCCAAACTGCCAGAGGGAATATACCGCAGTCTCAAACAGCAAGGTGCCATGAAGTGCACCAAAAAGACTGCACAAACCAGGAGCAAGCCCTAAGCCCTGAGTAAAACACGGGCGGCAATTCTTTCCTATGACTTTATCGCTGCACAGCGACAAGAAGCATGCCATCACTGTGCATCACTGTTTATTTTTTGTGTTGAAAATGTTGCAAGATGTTGCAAGCATGTTAGTGCGCACAGGTTGTCAAAAATACTGCGGCTGTTTGCTTCTGTCAACTTGTATCAATCATTCATGAATCATCAGGACTTGGTACCTCAGGGTTCAATTGCGGCTGTTATGCACGTTAGTTGATGAAAACCCTTGGGCTCCAAAAATGGCCTTGTGAAAATCAATGGCGGAAAGGCAGCCACACTTTCAAGGCCGGCCGCAGCTCCACCTTTTTGGCAGATCACCTCCTGCTTCTTGTCCACACACTTCATCTGTGAAGTGAAGCTTCAATTGCAGGAGCACATCACGAGTTCTGTGACTCGTGAATGCAAATGATCAATAATAATCCATAGGTCCTTAAAACATCCGACACCGAAACGGTTCTGGCTTTAAGATGGAGTGGAGCGAAAGAGACGTTCATGTCGTCTTGTTTCTCATTGTTCAATATGTTTCCTCATTTATTGTTCAGGTGCAATGCCACTTCCCTTCCTCTCACTCCAGCGGAACCCTTTCACCGCCATACATGGATCAGACCCATTGCTATACATAGCCAAGTCACCCCAATTCAAAAATAAATTGAAATCAGCACCAGAATCACTCCCTGGTACCTCTGAAAACTCTAAACTTCAAACTGGTGCAACAGGAGGCAACATGAAGTGCGAGCATGCTCGAAAGCACTCCCTGTAAGAGTTCCTCCCGCTGTAGGCAACACAGTTTCACATCTAATTTAATTCATTGGGGCATTGGAGGGTCGAGCTATCTACAAACTAGGATGCAAGGAACTTTGCGGAAAGTGCCAGGCCTGTGCTTGAACAAACCCTTGAACCACAACTCATCACAACGTCACAACTCACATCTCGCGATGCACATCGTTCTTGCGACCCACAAACATTCCCTGGATGATTTTGCCTTCTCGGGCCAGTTTCGCCATGAACTCAAAGTCAGAGATCAATTTATCATAGGCCTCTTCATCCCATCCCAACAATTTCTTGGCATCGTACACTGCTTGCCGCTTCAGCATGTGCACATAGCTGTCCATGGCAGGTGAGAAGCGACCACTGTTCTCCGCGATCTCAACCTCAAAGCCTGCCTTCTTCAGCATCTGTGCATACTCCTCAACAGTGGGGATGGCAGGGAATGTCATCAGGCTCAAGAATCTCTGCGCCTCAGGGTCTGATAGACCTTCACCCTCGATCCAGTCGGTAAACATCACTTTTCCTCCGGGCTTTACGATGCGAGCTGCTTGGTCGATGATTAGTTGTTTGTCAGGCATGTAGCACCAAGCATCCTTGCTGTACACAAAATCGGCAGAGGCATCCTTGGTGCGGTCAGGTTTCTGCAAGGCCAGGGGTAAGAGACGACCCTTTCTGACTTAGTTGGGGGCTTAGGTTTCTGTCCAGACATGTTCTTAGGCAAATTGTCAATGTGCAATATCTGTCAAAATGAGTTGACATGAATTGACTGCCTTCATACAGCAACAAGTAGAAGACTGCACTTTCAGAGAACTATGCCTAGAACATGTCACGAAACAAAGTGACACGGAGTTGAAACAATGCGCCACCATGCGCTACCACACCCTCAAAGTCTTGTGAAAACACGCACAAACCATCCCAAACTATGTATTGCAAAGTTCACCATGGTCATGGAAGGCCAGAACATGCCAGAACTTCCAAATCCCAATCCAGACAAGGCATGACAAGGATCCGGGAGCCCATTCTCCAAAGAGTTCTTGTTGATGAACTTGATCTTGTCACTGAGCCCCTCCTCCGCTGTCCTCTTCTTGCCAGTCTCCACCACGGACTTAGTGAGTTCCACTCCGATCATGGAGTCCACTCCTGCGAGGCGAACCAAGGCGCGCATGCCTCCACCATTGTTGCTGTTCAACTCAACTCCCTTCATCCCTGGCCCCACATGAGCCCTCTGAGCTAGCTCCAAGGTGGAAGATGCTGCGCCAATGTCAATCTGCTTCCCCATCACCAGTTCCCACACACCCTGCTCCGGACCACTGTAGCACTTGGCAACGGCATCCGCGTTGGCTGCTTCTTGGTCGGCCAGAATCTTCATAGCATAGGAACTGCACCAAAGTGTCGACAACACGGCGAGCTGCACCAACACCATGGCTATCAGAGGAGACGCGCCAAGCCGGGCAAAGCCACGTCAAAAGTGCGAGACAAAGCAAACTGTTTCAGCCAAACTGCCAGAGGGAATATACCGCAGTCTCAAACAGCAAGGTGCCATGAAGTGCACCAAAAAGACTGCACAAGCCACAAGCAAGCCCTAAGCCCTAAGTAAAACACGGGCGGCAATTCTTTCCTATGGCTTTATCGCTGCACAGCGACAAGAAGCATGCCACCACTGTGCATCACTGTTTATTTTTTGTGTTGAAAATGTTGCAAGATGTTGCAAGCATGTTACTGCGCACAGGTTGTCAAAAATACTGCGGCTGTTTGCTTCTGTCAACCTGTATCAATCATTCATGAATCATCAGGACTTGGTACCTCAGGGTTCAATTGCGGCTGTTATGCACGTTAGTTGATAAAAACCCTTGGGCTCCAAAAATGGCCTTGTGAAAATCAATGGCGGAAAGGCAGCCATACTTTCAAGGCCGGCCGCAGCTCCACCTTTTTGGCAGATGCACCTCCTGCTTCTTGTCCACACACTTCATCTGTGAAGTGAAGCTTCAATTGCAGGAATTGCAGGAGCACATCACGAGTTCTGTGACTCGTGAATGCAAATGATCAATAATAATCCATAGGTCCTTAAATCATCCGACACCGAAACGGTTCTGGCTTGAAGATGGAGTGGAGTGAAAGAGACGTTCATGTCGTCTTGTTTCTCATTGTTCAATATGTTTCCTCATTTATTGTTCAGGTGCAATGCCACTTCCCTTCCTCTCACTCCAGCGGAACCCTTTCACCACCATACATGGATCAAACCCATTGCTATACATTGCCAAGTCACCCCAAGTCAAAAACAAATTGAAATCAGCACCAGAATCACTCCCTGGTACCTCTGAAAACTCTAAACTTCAAACTGGTGCAACAGGAGGCAACATGAAGTGCGAGCATGCTCGAAAGCACTCCCTGTAAGAGTTCCTCCCGTTGTAGGCAACACAGTTTCACATCTAATTTAATTCATCGGGGCATTGGAGGGTCGAGCTATCTACAAACTAGGTTGCAAGGAACTTTGCGGAAAGTGCCAGGCCTGTGCTTGAACAAACCCTTGAACCACAACTCATCACAACGTCACAACTCACATCTCGCGATGCACATCGTTCTTGCGACCCACAAACATTCCCTGGATGATTTTGCCTTCTCGGGCCAGTTTCGCCATGAACTCAAAGTCAGAGATCAATTTATCATAGGCCTCTTCATCCCATCCCAACAATTTCTTGGCATCGTACACTGCTTGCCGCTTCAGCATGTGCACATAGCTGTCCATGGCAGGTGAGAAGCGACCACTGTTCTCCGCGATCTCAACCTCAAAGCCTGCCTTCTTCAGCATCTGTGCATACTCCTCAACAGTGGGGATGGCAGGGAATGTCATCAGGCTCAAGAATCTCTGCGCCTCAGGGTCTGATAGACCTTCACCCTCGATCCAGTCGGTAAACATCACTTTTCCTCCGGGCTTTACGATGCGAGCTGCTTGGTCGATGATTAGTTGTTTGTCAGGCATGTAGCACCAAGCATCCTTGCTGTACACAAAATCGGCAGAGGCATCCTTGGTGCTGCGGCGGTCAGGTTTCTACAAGGCCAAGGGTAAGAGGCGACCCTTTGTGACTTAGTTGGGGGCTTGGGTTTCTGTCCAGAAATGTTCTTAGACAAATTGTCAATGTGCAATATCTGTCAAGATGAGTTGACATGAATTGACTGCCTTCATACAGCAACAAGTAGAAGACTGCACTTTCAGAGAACTATGCTTAGAACATGTCACGAAACAAAGTAACACGGAGTTGAAACAATGCGCCACCATGCGCTACCACACCCTCAAAGTCTTGTGAAAACATGCACAAACCATCCCAAACTATGTATTGCAAAGTTCACCATGGTCATGGAAGGCCAGAACATGCCAGAACTTCCAAATCCCAATCCAGACAAGGCATGACAAGGATCCGGGAGCCCATTCTCCAAAGAGTTCTTGTTGATGAACTTGATCTTGTCACTGAGCCCCTCCTCCGCTGTCCTCTTCTTGCCAGTCTCCACCACGGACTTAGTGAGTTCCACTCCGATCATGGAGTCCACTCCTGCGAGGCGAACCAAGGCGCGCATGCCTCCACCATTGTTGCTGTTCAACTCAACTCCCTTCATCCCTGGCCCCACATGAGCCCTCTGAGCTAGCTCCAAGGTGGAAGATGCTGCGCCAATGTCAATCTGCTTCCCCATCACCAGTTCCCACACACCCTGCTCCGGACCACTGTAGCACTTGGCAACGGCATCCGCGTTGGCTGCTTCTTGGTCGGCCAGAATCTTCATAGCATAGGAACTGCACCAAAGTGTCGACAACACGGCGAGCTGCACCAACACCATGGCTATCAGAGGAGACGCGCCAAGCCGGGCAAAGCCACGTCAAAAGTGCGAGACAAAGCAAACTGTTTCAGCCAAACTGCCAGAGGGAATATACCGCAGTCTCAAACAGCAAGGTGCCATGAAGTGCACCAAAAAGACTGCACAAGCCACAAGCAAGCCCTAAGCCCTAAGTAAAACACGGGCGGCAATTCTTTCCTATGGTTTTATCGCTGCACAGCGACAAGAAGCATGCCATCACTGTGCATCACTGTTTATTTTTTGTGTTGAAAATGTTGCAAGATGTTGCAAGCATGTTAGTGCGCACAGGTTCTCAAAGCGGCTTTTGCCATCACTGTGTTATTTTTTGTGTTGAAAATGTTGCAAGATGTTGCAAGCATGTTAGTGCGCACAGGTTGTCAAAAATACTGCGGCTGTTTGCTTCTGTCAACTTGTATCAATCATTCATGAATCATCAGGACTTGGTACCTCAGGGTTCAATTGCGGCTGTTATGCACGTTAGTTGATGAAAACCCTTGGGCTCCAAAAATGGCCTTGTGAAAATCAATGGCGGAAAGGCAGCCATACTTTCAAGGCCGGCCGCAGCTCCACCTTTTTGGCAGATCACCTCCTGCTTCTTGTCCACACACTTCATCTGTGAAGTGAAGCTTCAATTGCAGGAGCACATCACGAGTTCTGTGACTCGTGAATGCAAATGATCAATAATAATCCATAGGTCCTTAAATCATCCGACACCGAAACGGTTCTGGCTTTAAGATGGAGTGGGGTGAAAGAGACGTTCATGTCGTCTTGTTTCTCATTGTTCAATATGTTTCCTCATTTATTGTTCAGGTGCAATGCCACTTCCCTTCCTCTCACTCCAGCGGAACCCTTTCACCGCCATACATGGATCAAACCCATTGCTATACATAGCCAAGTCACCCCAAGTCAAAAATAAATTGAAATCAGCACCAGAATCACTCCCTGGTACCTCTGAAAACTCTAAACTTCAAACTGGTGCAACAGGAGGCAACATGAAGTGCGAGCATGCTCGAAAGCACTCCCTGTAAGAGTTCCTCCCGCTGTAGGCAACACAGTTTCACATCTAATTCATTGGGGCATTGGAGGGTCGAGCTATCTACAAACTAGGATGCAAGGAACTTTGCGGAAAGTGCCAGGCCTGTGCTTGAACAAACCCTTGAACCACAACTCATCACAACTCATCACAACTTACATCTCGCGATGCACATCTTTCTTGCGACCCACAAACATTCCCTGGATGATTTTGCCTTCTCGGGCCAGTTTCGCCATGAACTCAAAGTCAGAGATCAATTTATCATAGGCCTCTTCATCCCATCCCAACAATTTCTTGGCATCGTACACTGCTTGCCGCTTCAGCATGTGCACATAGCTGTCCATGGCAGGTGAGAAGCGACCACTGTTCTCCGCGATCTCAACCTCAAAGCCTGCCTTCTTCAGCATCTGTGCATACTCCTCAACAGTGGGGATGGCAGGGAATGTCATCAGGCTCAAGAATCTCTGCGCCTCAGGGTCTGATAGACCTTCACCCTCGATCCAGTCGGTAAACATCACTTTTCCTCCGGGCTTTACGATGCGAGCTGCTTGGTCGATGATTAGTTGTTTGTCAGGCATGTAGCACCAAGCATCCTTGCTGTACACAAAATCGGCAGAGGCATCCTTGGTGCGGTTGCGGTCAGGTTTCTGCAAGGCCAGGGGTAAGAGACGACCCTTTCTGACTTAGTTGGGGGCTTAGGTTTCTGTCCAGACATGTTCTTAGGCAAATTGTCAATGTGCAATATCTGTCAAAATGAGTTGACATCATTTGACTGCCTTCATACAGCAACAAGTAGAAGACTGCACTTTCAGAGAACTATGCCTAGAACATGTCACGAAACAAAGTGACACGGAGTTGAAACAATGCGCCACCATGCGCTACCATGCGCTACCATGCGCTACCATGCGCTTCCATGCGCTTCCATGCGCTACCATGCGCTACCATGCGCTACCACACCCTCAAAGTCTTGTGAAAACATGCACAAACCATCCCAAACTATGTATTGCAAAGTTCACCATGGTCATGGAAGGCCAGAACATGCCAGAACTTCCAAATCCCAATCCAGACAAGGCATGACAAGGATCCGGGAGCCCATTCTCCAAAGAGTTCTTGTTGATGAACTTGATCTTGTCACTGAGCCCCTCCTCCGCTGTCCTCTTCTTGCCAGTCTCCACCACGGACTTAGTGAGGTCCACTCCGATCATGGAGTCCACTCCTGCGAGGCGAACCAAGGCGCGCATGCCTCCACCATTGTTGCTGTTCAACTCAACTCCCTTCATCCCTGACCCCACATGAGCCCTCTGAGCTAGCTCCAAGGTGGAAGATGCTGCGCCAATGTCAATCTGCTTCCCCATCACCAGTTCCCACACACCCTGCTCCGGACCACTGTAGCACTTGGCAACGGCATCCGCGTTGGCTGCTTCTTGGTCGGCCAGAATCTTCATAGCATAGGAACTGCACCAAAGTGTCGACAACACGGCGAGCTGCACCAACACCATGGCTATCAGTGGAGACGCGCCAAGCCGGGCAAAGCCACGTCAAAAGTGCGAGACAAAGCAAACTGTTTCAGCCAAACTGCCAGAGGGAATATACCGCAGTCTCAAACAGCAAAGTGCCATGAAGTGCACCAAAAAGACTGCACAAGCCACAAGCAAGCCCTAAGCCCTAAGTAAAACACGGGCGGCAATTCTTTCCTATGGCTTTATCGCTGCACAGCGACAAGAAGCATGCCATCACTGTGCATCACTGTTTATTTTTTGTGTTGAAAATGTTGCAAGATGTTGCAATCATGTTACTGCGCACAACATATCACAACACGCCTCCTTCCCAAGATCCAATGAAGGAAATGAAACTACATGTTGCGACCATCAACGCATCCGCTTTTTCACATCAGTACCTTCTGCTTCGTCCAAACGCATGGTCTGTGCAAGACTGCCTGCCACCCGCCCACGTTCCAGCGTGCCAGGTGCCGAGGCATCCAGCGTGAAGTTTCAAGGCAAAAACACTGAGGATCTGAATGGGCCACCAGGTGGTTGTGCCAAACTAGAAAACTCGAACGACGAACATACGACAAACTGCGGTTTCAAATAATCTTATCCCCCTAAATGTCCCAAAAACCATGTAAATCCCCTACTAAACATTACTAAACCATACTAAACCATTATTTCTTTGGAACTTTGGGGGTGTTTAATATTGGGGGAAAACGATTCGATGCCAAACATTCCAACGCACACACACCTCACTGCAAGTTGATATTGAAAACTGGTAGGGTAATACCACATGTTGCTATACAAAGCAGGACGGCCCGAATGAAGCACCATGAGAAGCATTGTTCTGTGCTCCCTTCGGAGGTTCAAACTGGTGAAATGCACTATTCAAATAGGGGCCCAAGTCAGTCTCCTTTAGAGCTTGCTGGACAGTCGCGACCATTGAAGGCTGCTGAATTGAAGTTCTCAGATCTCAAGTTGTCGAACTGCAACTGCAACTTCCCTTCCTCCATTCCCATGTTGGGATCCTTGAGTTCGTTGTACTTGTACAACTCATACATCTTGCCACTTTGCACCTTGCCGGCGTTGTCCACAGCTTTTGCACTCCCGCGGACATACATGGCATCAATTGTGAAGACGATGCTGCCCAAAACAAATGTAATGTTCCCTTTCAGGGTCTCAAAACGGTGCGAGCTACAAACACCGAAGATGAAAACCGAATATCATATATGCTGAAAAATGTGCGTAACGTGTAGATATACTAGTTTGATTTAGTATTATATTTATATCATGTATGTGCACATTGACTTGATGAATAGTTGGGATTAGTAATTCCCCCTGTTAGTAAATCCAGAGTGCCCTCCCGATTTTTCGCGCCCTCCTGCCAATGGTGGTGCACCCCCCCAAGTATGAAATCCACTCTCCGAACCGTAGTTTTTTGGTGGTACTAATTTAGTGTTGTTTTTTACTTTTAATTGGGGCCACAACTTTCAATGTTATTGACCGACCCTTCCCTATCTTATCCCTTCTTTGATTCTTCTCATTCTAGACCCTCATGGATGCTACTAAGCAGCTGTTTTCTCTGAATTGATACCTCATTGATGTCCATATCCAGCTAATTCCAGATTTCCTTGACCTTTCATGGATACGAATTCCAAACTGATCATCACATGTGGCCCCTGGATGCTACTAGGCAGCTAATTCCCATAGAATTGACACTCCATGCGGGCTTATTTGCGGATAATTCCAGCAACGTTCGTTCATCATCAACGAGCGGAGTTTCTTTCTAGTTCGAGGTGGTGTTTTTGACCCCCTCCTACTGAACCTTGTTGACGTTGCTGGCCTTGAGGGGGGTAGGGGAGATAATTAATCCGGGATATTCATTCCAGTGTATGTGTGTATATGCACACCTATATATATATATATTATATATTAATGTGTGTATACATATTACAACGCAATTAATTTCTACAGCACGGATATGTTGTACAGTATGTAAATTATACATTGTATGCAATTATATACATGTATACAGTATATGCAAATGTATACATGTTTGTTGATCAAAATTCCTTTATCCGGGAACGGCCATTCTTCGCGAATCAACATTCTTTCGCGACTCTTTCGCGAACTCCATGTTTATCTTTCGCGGAACCCATGTTGAGCAAAAACTCCTCTTATGAAGATTCATTCATCACCTGCCAAATCACACAAAATTACCCGGATAATCATCGGATAACTTCTTCATAGCCTTGTAAACATGCAGCGCTAGCATCACGGAATCCCCTTCTCAGGTCAAGTTGTTGCTGATTTGGCAATTTCTTGCAAGGTTTTTCTGGGCCACTCCCTTCAAAATGCACTTTGACTTTTGCCCACTCTTTCGCAGAACTTTCGCAGAACTTTCGTGAAAATACCCCTATCCGCAAACCCCAGCCATCAGCAGGGGGCGGCAAACACCAGGGGCCTTGGCGTTTGCCTCTTGCAAAGCCTCACTTTGGGAAGCTTGGCTGCTGCATTTGGAGTTTGCTTCTTGAGACTTCAGAAGCAACGTTAGGCAGTACCAGCGGCAGGTGCACTAATGTGCTTCAAGACCATGGTGTTTGGCTGTGGCGAAGCCTTGGCGAAGCCTTACCTTCGGACGCTTGGCTGCTACCCATGAAGGGAAAGTAAATGTGCGGTACCATTCTCCTGCCGGACCCCCGGGTGGCAGGAGGTGGTAGCCCTTAACAAGCTGTAATGTATATACAAAGATAATGATTCTTTCGCGAACTCGAAAAAAAAACTTCGCGAGGGTTTCCAACATAACACGCACGGCTTTCGCAATTAAAACTCCTTACATGGACCATCATGGACCTTTAGATCGATTACAGTACCATATATACCAGTAGTACCGCACAAGGCGGTGGCGGAAGTTTCAAAAATAGGAAACCTATAGGAGAGGTCCGTTGCTTTGAATCACAGATGGCAGAGCGAAGCCACTGATGGATCGAAAGGTGATTGATGTCTCCTCTCTTTCTCTTTCTTTCTGTCTCTTTCTCTGACTATTTACCTACCTACACACCTATCTATCTATGTATCCATCTATCTCTCTCTCTCTCTGTCTGTCTGTCTGTCTATCTATCTATCTATTTATCTATCGATCTATCTATCTATGTATCTATCTATCTATCTGTCTATCTATCTATCTATCCATCCATCTATCTATCTATCTGTCTGTCTATCTATCTATCTATCTATCTATCTAATCCTATGTAATCTAATCTAATCTAATCTAATCTAATCTAATCTAATCTAATCTGTCTATCTATCCCATCTGTCTATCTAACTATGTATCTGACTATCTATCTATCTATCTATCTATCTATCTACCTAAGCTAATCTAATCTAATCTAATCAAACCTAACCTAATCTAATCTAATCTAATCTATCTATCTATTCCAATCTAACCAAATCTAATCTAATCTAGTCTAATCGAATCTACCCTTCTCTTCTCTTCTCTTCTCTTATCTATCTATCTATCTATCGATCTATTTATCGATCGATCTATCTATCTATCCATCCATCCATCCATCCATCTATCTAATCTATCCATCTCTATTTCTCTATCTCTCTATCTATCTATCTATCTGTCTGTCTATCTATCTATCTATCTATCTATCTAGCTAGCTAGCTATCTATCTATCTCATCTGTCTATCTAACTATGTATCTATCTATCTACCTATCTACCTATCTACCTATCTACTTATCTACCTATCTACCTACCTACCTACCTACCTATCTATCTATCTATCTATCTATCTATCTATTTCTCTCTCTCTCTCTCTCTCTGTCTGTCTGTCTGTCTGTCTGTCTGTCTGTCTGTCTGTCTGTCTGTCTGTCTGTCTGTCTGTCGATCTACCCGTCTTTCTGCGAGCTTGAAAACGAAGCTATTCTGCGAGACGTCCTCAGGTTTTGAGCTTGACAACATCAAAAACGCAGCAATTCTGCGAGACTTCCTCAATGTTTGAACTTGACAACGTCAAAAACCAAGCAATTCTGCGAGAATTCTTCATTTTTCAAAGTTGACAACATCAAAAACGCAGCAATTCTGCGAGACTTCCTCAATGTTTGAACTTGACAACGTCAAAAACCAAGCAATTCTGCGAGACTTCTTCATTTTTCAAAGTTGACAACATTAAAAACGAAGCATGTCTGCGAGACGTCCTTCAAAAATGGAAAGTTGAGTCCAGAGCGGACGGCCTCGTACCAATTCGTTTTGCGATTTGTCGAGTCCATTTGTCTAAACTACTGTGCCTGCCACGAAAAAGATCGAAAAAGTAATGCCAGGTCATACGAAGCGCTGCACCTGTCACGCAAAATCATCTCAGCAAACCTGAAGATCTGAGGCTCCAAAATGCAACCCCTCTCAGGAAATCAGCGCCCGGACCTCCTAACAGCTCTGATGAACATGTCTCTTGTACTGCGCCCGCTACGGAAAATGCATCTTTGCAGATCCTCTTCAAATGTCCCACGCCTGCCATCGTTTTTGGAAATGCTACAAAACCCTCACGTTTTGCTCACTTGTCACAAGGTGCACAATCCCTTGCGCCTGCCGAGCGAAACGACATCTGAGCGTCCAAAAGTGGTCCGAACCCCTAGTGTTTTTAACATTTTGACTTCGAAATGTGCTTCACGCCACAACGGCGTGCACTTTTTCGACATCTCAACTTCCAAAAGTGCTCCGAACGTGAGGTGGCTTTAGCTTTTTCACTTGCAAACGTGCTTCGCGCCACAACAGCGTGCACTTTTTCGACATCTCAACTTCCAAAAGTGGTCCGGAGCTGGTGTGCTTTGTACATTTTGACTTGGAAGTGTGCTTCGCGCCACAACGGCGTGCACTTTTTCGACATCGCAACTTCTACAAGCGCTCCGAAGCTGATGTGTTTTGTACATTTTGACTTGGAAATGTGCTTCGCGTCACAACGGCGTGCAATTTTTCATCTCTCATCTGGCCAGCTGGCTCCGCACCCGCCGCTTTAGCGAGCCTACTTTTCGACCATCCGGAGCCACAAATCATTGGAAAAACACAGTTTTTCGCGACTTTCCTACCTTTTCGCGCACCTGGATCTTCTTTCTTCTGAGACTTTCTCTTCTCTGATCTTCTCTCTTCTTCTCTTCTCTTCTCTATTCTTCTGCTCCACCTCTGCTTTTCATCTGTCCATATTGTCGGAAGTTTGACTTCTAAACTTCCTTCGATAACTGTATATACATATACCGAATTATATCGACATACGTGGGAGTCAGTAGAGACATGTAACATCATGTAACAATATGTCTGTCATGGTTGAACGACCTCATCATTTGTCGGCGCCTGCATGTAGCAAAGCAGGTAGCTCCGGAAAGACTGCCGCGAAGGTATAGCAAAGGCTTCCAGCGAGGTAGAGCGTGCTACCGACGCCGTACAAACTCGACCAAGGAGTCTCTATGGTGCATATGCATCTGCCCATGGCAGCATAAACGGAACCGGTGATTTCTCGTTTTTGAATGAGACACAACTGGCCAGCAGCTGCAGTGGTTTTCCATGCCGATTTTCCCAGACACACGCCTGTAGCTTGGGATTGGGGAGCCCCAGAACTCTGCTGCTTTCCCCAAGAAGGAAAAAAATCAGCTGTGCAAGAGGCTTGGAGGCACTTTCTCCCAAAATTGTCTCATATGTTTATTCGCATATCTTCTGATGGTATCACCATATTCCTGGCTTCCAGCCCATTCTTGACATGTTTCAGGGCATGTTATAATGATTCACCTGACATAAGGCCAGCTATTGGGATAATTCCCCGAATTCTAACCATGATTCCAGGGTTCGGGAGAACAGTGAGGTCGTCAAGAAATTTACCCAGATTATCCATTTATATCGCATAATATACCCACTCTATTGTCCCATGAATCCCCATGAAAATCCCCACTAATCACCATATTTCCTGGCTTCCAGCCAAATGTGTTGACTGTCTTTTTGGAAACATCACAACAAAGCAGAGTCACCGACGTGGCACCTGCATGCCGAAAAAGCCGAAACGCGACACTCATCGCGGCAGCCGGGTTGGTGGCGAACTACCCACGGCTCGTAAGTAGGTTATATCCCTGGTGATGTTCGTGGGAAAGCAGGGTGAATCCACTTATAACTAGAGGCTTATAACCTACTTACGAAGTATGAGCCACCAAGTATGCGATGAAGAATTCAGAGCTAATGGTACCCCAAGTTATTGAAAGGTGAGTGAGAAAAGTGATGATCAACGTTGAGATTTCGGGGTGCCCTATTCTCCCACAAAGCCTATTGGAGAATTGGGTACAGTGGATCTAACCATTCAACTGAGGTGATCAAAAAGAATTATGTGGTATCTACCCAACAAAGCAATGGCTATGATTCGCTAAACATAGCTAGCTAAACCAAGAAAGGATGCAACGTTCCAATATGCGGGTCAAGCATTTCGAATCAGAGGATTTCTGAACATGCGGGATCCAAGGTTATTTGTCAACTTCACAGGGTTTCCCTGATTTTGGTGTATCCCAGATTTGGCAAACACCCACTAAAGTTTATTGTTCGGGAGGCTCCTGACTTGGAGAGCATTCAACTTTGCCTGTGTCTGCCGGCAGAGAGCCAAAGGTCTTTTCAGTGTCATCAAGCCTGGTCTTCCCAGCGGCTGAAACCGAACTGACCAACTGACCCACTGCATCTCGTGACATCTCGTGACCCACCGCAGCTTTGGGAACGCTGCGATCATGGGGATTCAACATTTGCTTCAGATTCGTTCAGATTTGCCCATGACCATGGCCAATCTTAGATACGCAAACAATGACAAATTCATACAAATTCTTAGCTGGTGAAATTATAGACAATCCCAATTAATCCCATTGATACCAAAAGATTAAAGGATTAATTGGGATTACCAATTGGGATTAAAGGATTAAAGGATACCTAAGATTCGTACCCATCCAGTTGGTTAACCTATCAACCCAAACAGGCCATTTTTGATGGGTCCCAGAACGCGGCCGATGACTCGATAGAATCCAGCCCCCACAACTTAACCGGTCATTTGACATTTCAGGAAGATGTTAATTAGAGTTGTTTACCATCCCATTCCAATATCTATTCTTCTGATTATCATGTTTTTAAGTGTTGTTTACATGTAATTTTCATTAACACAGAGGTAGAATTCACAATAATACATCATAATTACATCATATAATCATATAGATATCATGAATTAACATATCCATCTTAAGAGGTCCCAAGAAAATTGACGCCCTACGCAGCGCAGATTTTCCGGCACCCCTCTGGGCCAACCTTTCTTGGCGGGGCCATCATTGAGGGAATCGGCTGCGGAAAGCGCAAAGTTTTAGCGCATTTCGCACAACCAACCCTCAAAGGGAGCCTTGCCACTTCAAAGGTTTCATCGAGTTTTCATGGGAATTCATGATGTTGTCATTTTTGATGGTTTTGATGGGATTTAACGAGCTTCAATGGGATTTAATGGGGCTGAGATTGGGATTTTCGTCGGAGAATCAACCTACTGGATGCATCTTGAAATGGGATTCACGGCAACATTTATTGGCAATTAATGGGATAAGGATAATAATAATAACAATAATCATTATTATTATTCTGTATATATATAATTATATTATTAGTTTTTTCTAGGTTTTTGCTTTACCATGATAAACCACTGGATTTGGGTACCCATTTTTTTCAGACAGCCCATGACTGTCACTTTACCCTGTATATTCATTTCGTTGGGGCCCGGTAAGGCACCAGAACAAGTCGTGGAAGGATTAGAGCCCCAGCTACTACGTCCAGCGGCTAGTGTTCTCACTAACATGACAAAAGGTACTACAACAGGTGAAGTTTGAAGAGGTTTGAAGGTAATAGGAACCACTGCACAATAAATGGTGTAAAAATGCTGATTTTTAGGCATCAAACCATCGAACCGTCCCATGTCGGACACCGAATCTGACCAAGAGTTATCAACACCGGGATGCCCATGCGACCCTTCAAGCAGCAAAGCTTAGACACCGAATCTGCAGCAGACGTTGGAAGAAGCTACACACCAAGCGCGCGGACCATGGACCCAGCAAACGCAAATGTCCACGTACCATCATGTAATATAAACCGAGATTTGACTAAAACATACTCAAGTGTACCGAAAATCATCGGTATTATGCAGCCAATCAAACACGATGGTTGGTTCATGTTGGTTCGTTGGCACTGCAACCCTCCAGCTTGTGGTGAGCCTTCTGTGCGTGGTTGCGTGACCCTCCAATCAAAAAGCATCCAATGTCTTTGCTGCCGCCCGATATGCTCCGCACAAAAGATTGTTTGGAGTGGTCTAGCTTGAAACGAACATTCTTGACTACTCTGGACAGACCAATGTCCGTTTGGTATGCATACCATTGACCTGCATTTGCCTATTATGTAATGTTGTAAACCCAAAAAATAATCATCTCATCAATTCAGCATGGGGTCACGTTACATCATCCCAAATAAGGGTATACACAATTCCATAAACCTCCCTTGGGGATAGTGACAATGGTGACTGTGGAGATGGGTTTACCCAGTTAGTCGGTTTAATCGAGGTTAATCCTCTATAAATCAACCAACCACTAGCAATTTAGGACATCCATGGGAGAGGCCTTCCTGGATCCAGGGCTTCTATACACGTCTTGAACATGTGTAGCATGCAGAACGTCTCAGAAGATCTGGGTGTTTTTCTCTGATTCAGTATGGCCAAGCTTCCCTGCGAAAACATCTACTTTCTTTTGAGCTGGTACATGTCATCATATGTGCATGTATGTATGTATGGTACTATGATGTACTATGTATGTATGCATGCATGCATGTATGTATGTATGTATGGTACTATGTATGTATGGTACTATGTATGTATGGTACTATGTATGTATGTATGTATGTATGTATGTATGTATGTATGTATGTATGTATGTATGTATGTATGTATGTATGGTACTTTGATGTACTATGTATGTATGTATGTACGTACGTACGTACGTATGTATGCATGCATGCATGCATGCATGCATGCATGTATGTATGTTATGGTATGGTATGGTATGGTATGGTATGGTATGGTATGGTATGGTATACTGTATGTATGGATGGATGGATGGATGTATGGATGTATGGATGTATGGACTGTATGGATGTATGGATGTATGGATGTATGGATAGTACTATACTATGGTACTATGGTACTATGGTACTATGTATGTACTATGGTACTATGGTAGTATGTATGTATGTATGTATATATGTATGTATGTATGTATGTATGTATGTATGGTACTGTATGTATGTATGGTACTGTATGCACGTATGGTACTGTATGTATGTATGGTACTGTATGTATGTATGGTACTGTATGTATTTATGGCACTGTATGTATGTATGGTACTGTATGTATGTATGGTACTGTATGTATGTATGGTACTGTATGTATGTATGGTACTGTATGTATGTATGGTAATGTATGTGTGTATGGTAATGTATGGTAATGTAAGGTCATATATGGTCATGTATGGTAATGTATGGTAATGAGTGGTAATGTCATGTAATGTATGGTAATGTAATGCATGGTAATGTAATGTAATGTAAATGTAATGTTATGTTATGTATGTATGTATTGTATTGGATTTCATTATCAGTATGATGAGTATGATGAGTATTATGATTATTATGTTTATTATTACTATTATTATGATTATTATTATTATTTTGATGATTTTGATTGTTATTATTTTATACATATATATATATATACAGTATATATTCCAAATATCAAGGAAAATATCTCAGGATTCTTGACGACCAAGAAAGGTTGATCCATTGGCCGTTTCCACCCAGGTCGATTGCAGCTTGGCATCTTGCCGACCTATGTCAATGTAGACCTGGCATCTCTGGTGATTCCAGGATGGAGCCCCAGTGAGGCCCCAGTTCGTTAGCGTTCAGTTGGTGCAAATACCCTCTGGTAAACATACAAAAAGCTATTGAAAATGGTCATTTATAGTGGATTTACCCATTAAAAATGGTGATTTTCCATAGCTATGTTAAATTACCAGATGGTAACTATAATAACAATAGTGTACCTGGCATCCCATCGATGGGTTGGACAAAGGGTGAGTACCCGGCCTGGAAAACGGGCGTTTACATAACGAACTGGAAAGATCCACCATAGCAATGGGTAAATCAACTATTTCGACTGTGCCATTTTCAATAGCTATGTTAGTTTACCAGAGGTTATATCCCATTAAATCCCATTAAATCCCATTAAACCACCATTTTCCTATGGTTTCCCTATGGTTTTCCACCAATTATGTGTTGTTATTTAGATGGGGTTACCAACTGAAAACGGGCGCACCATCCTGTGATGTCTATGATATCTCTATGGGATTTACCAAGAAATTCTGGGTGATTCACCAAAACTTGGGGAAATCGACCTGATTTCTGGCCATTGACTGGAAAAACATATCATGATTCACCATGGGATATTGATAGAGGTACCTGATTTTCAAATCCAAGTCGCAATTATGTAGAAGATTTAAGCCGTCTACAGTAACCAAGAAAAAAACTTGGTAAGGGTTGTTGACCAAAAAAAGGAAGATGATGGAGGAAATTTGAGCGGCCTAAAGCCACTGTCTGTCTGTCCACAAAATTTGCTTGGATATGGCATGATATATCATCACTAAAATGATTGGATCTACTTATTATGTATCCCAAGATACTAATATAGTAACTCTCCAAAAATTTATAGATAAGTCTATCTTTCGGGAGGTTACACTATATACATATATCTGGCAGAATTTTAATGATTCAACAAACATGACAATAGCTGATATCATAGGGCCATTTGGGGATGATTCCTCTTACTAACCATCATTCCAGTGACGTCACAGTGAGGTCGTTACAATTCATCCATGTATATATTATATATACAGTGTATACATACATAGTGTCATATATTAGTAAACTATGGTAATTGTAAACTATAACAATTTACTGACCTGAAAAGTTCGGCTATTGTGGTGTAGCTACCCCTTACAATTCCCATCATTCCAGGGTTCGGTCGCAGTGAGGTCGTGATTAAATTTACCCACATATGTATCAATATATCCCCATTACATCCTAATGATGTTACCATTTTACTACTTTTTTTGCTTTTCCTATGTTTGATTACCAGAGGATACTAACCATTGCCAATCTTGGATACCCTGCAAAAAATTAAATTCTTTGCTGGTGAACGTAGATATTCCCATTAATACCAAAAGACTAAAGGATTAAAGTACCCATGTAAGATTGACCCAGTAACTATCAAAAATACGATACGATGGGTATCTTATAGTAGATAATCATATATATAATCAATATCACCGCCATTTTTGTTGCTTAAGTCAAGTTAAATCACCATAAATTTCCTATGCAAAGAACCTCCAAGTTGGTGCCCCCCCAGTTATAAATGGGTTATAATCCCATTAGCTATAGATAGATCACTTGTAAACCATAAATAGTGGACTTATAAACCAACTTAGCTAACTATGGGGCACCACCCTGTATGGTTTTTCTATCGCTTCTTTCGCACCTGTGAGGTCGTTGGGCAACGACTTCCATGCTTGCCTTGGCGAGAGTTTGAGGGGGAAGTTTCTGGTGAGAAAAGGAGATATAAGTCTGCAAAAAAATTGGATATCATGGCCTTACATGGTTTTTTATATGGTTCTATATGGGTTGTTTATGGTTTAAGCGGGATAATTTCATGGGATATTAATGGGAAATCCTCCATAAATCGAGGTTTACAACACTATAATTTATACGTCTACTAATGGGATATGAATGGGATGATATTCATGAGATATACCCTCCGGTGTCCTCAAACGTGGCAATGGAAACTCCCCTTCAAGTGGAGCTTTTAATGGGAAAATCAGCTACAACTTGGGATTTGTCCATTGCCACGTTTGAGGACCCGGGAGGGTAATGGGATCTAGTTGCAATTGACTGGGCAAACCCACTGCCATCTGAAAAAACACCTCCAAAAACTTGGGCAAAAACTGGGGAACAGCGATGACTTGGGATGAGAAAATCTGTGACGAGTGACAGTGGTTTGCAGGCGAAGCCATAGTTGCTGCTCTCTGCCGGGTTCCCCAAGCACTCTCTGTATCCCATGAAACCTGCCGCAGCTCACAGCGAGGTGGAAACTGGGACTGTTTTCTAGGTTAGAGCCTTTGTCTTTAGCATATGTGATTTTTGCCATAGTTATAGTATGTTATGTTATATATCGTATGTTGTAGTTCATATCAGAACATATCAGAACATCAATTTTCACATCTATAGATAGTATGTCTATCTATTGATTCATCAGGATAATGATGATTCATCTATAGTTCATTCATGGATAGATACCCTCTGGCTATTTAACATAGCCATGGAAAATGGCCCATTTATAGATGGTTTACCTATTACAAATGGTGATTTTCCATGGCTATGTCTATCTATCCATTCGTCCATTTGTCCAGTTGGGGCAAAAATCCTCCGCACCTTGCGGAGGGGCGAAGTGCTCCGACACGGCTCGGGTCGTGAGATTCCACGACCTGTCGGAGACCGCGGGAGTATTAATTGGGTATGAAAAATTGGGTCTCTCAGAAAATCTTAGGTGCCATTTTTGGATATTTTTGGTGTATGTCGTGTTCCAAAGTTCAAGACTCCACCCATTGAAAAATGGGTCATAAAAATGTGTTTTTGGGAGCTGTCTGATGACGGAAGGCTGGTCAGAGGAGATCATCCTCCGAAAAGACATCTCCCTTCTGGTTATTTGACCGTTTGCGAACTGGAAGCCATGGCCCATGTACTTTGATGATAAAAACCAGAGTTATGATGATGTTTACATTTTTTAGTATTTAAACATGGTGATCTTGCAGTTCGCTATGTCAAAGAAGGAGAGGGCATAAAACAATCTTAACATATCTTAACTACGAGTAGGAACTGATCTGCCCATGTCATACAAAAACGAAGGACTTAGGCATCTTTAGGTCCTTTTACGGGTTTCTCTGAAAATCATCATGTCATCATAATTATTCCTATAAATCAGCTATAATTCCACTATAAATCCATTGATTTTAATCATCATATATATCATATGGGGATGGGTCAAAACCCTGGTACCTAGTGAACCCCAAAATAGCTGGTAAATGGATGTTCATCCCATTAGAATGGATAATAATAGGTTTTGACCCACACCCATATATCATCATGATTCCTATATTTTACGGCTGAACTCAAAAGTCAAGTCATACGTTAAGTCAAGTCATACCCGGTCATACTCATTTCCAGACACACCTGAGGATGGCCTTCCTTCGAGGGAACTGGGGATTCTATAGCTGCAGAAGGCTGCAGATACCCTCTGGTAAACAGCCACATCACTATGGAAAATCACCATTTTTGATGGGTAAATCCACTATAAATCACCATTTTTGATGGGTAAATCCACTATAAATCACCATTTTCAAAGGGTAAATCCACTATAAATCACCATTTTTGATGGGTAAATCCACTATAAATCACCATTTTTGATGGGTACATCCACTATAAATCACCATTTTTGATGGGTAAATCCACTATAAATCACCATTTTCAAAGGGTAAATCCACTATAAATCACAATTTTTGATGGGTAAATCCACTATAAATCACCATTTTCAAAGGGTAAATCCACTATAAATCACAATTTTTGATGGGTAAATCCACTATAAATTACCATTTTTGATGGGTAAATCCACTATAAATCACAATTTTCAAAGGGTAAATCCACTATAAATCACCATTTTTGATGGGTAAATCCACTATAAATCACAATTTTCAAAGGGTAAATCCACTATAAATCACCATTTTCAAAGGGTAAATCCACTATAAATCACCATTTTCAAAGGGTAAATCCACTATAAATCACAATTTTTGATGGGTAAATCCACTATAAATCACCATTTTCAAATGGTAAATCCACTATAAATCACCATTTTCAAAGGGTAAATCCACTATAAATCACCATTTTTGATGCGTAAATCCACTATAAATCATCATTTTTGATGGGTAAATCCACTATAAATCATCATTTTTGATGTGTAAATCCACTATAAATCACCATTTTCAAAGGGTAAATCCACTATAAATCACCATTTTTGATGGGTAAATCCACTATAAATCACAATTTTCAAAGGGTAAATCCACTATAAATCACCATTTTCAAAGGGTAAATCCACTATAAATCACCATTTTTGATGGGTAAATCCACTATAAATCACCATTTTTGATGTGTAAATCCACTATAAATCACCATTTTCAAAGGGTAAATCCACTATAAATCACCATTTTTGATGGGTAAATCCACTATAAATCACAATTTTCAAATGGTAAATCCACTATAAATCACCATTTTCAAAGGGTAAATCCACTATAAATCACAATTTTCAAAGGGTAAATCCACTATAAATCACCATTTTTGATGGGTAAATCCACTATAAATTACCATTTTTGACTGGTAAATCCACTATAAATCACCATTTTCAAAGGGTAAATCCACTATAAATCACCATTTTCAATAGCTCTTTTGACATAACCAGAGGCTATTTCTCTGAGTCCACAACAACTTCTGCTTCGACTTTGGAACAGCAGTGAACCTGAAGACTTTGTTTGCGACTCGGCCATTGATCCCAGGGGCGCCCTGGTTTTTGAAATTTGACAGCGGATCCCAGAGTTTTTTCACATGGTTGCTTCAAGATTCAAGATGTACTTAAGTTATCTTAAGTTGCATATCCCGAAAATTTGATTGCATGTTCATCAGTGTGTCTCTCTCTCTCTCTCTTTCTCTGCGTTTGCAGAAATCTTTGCCTGAATGACAATGCGTTCGCGCCTGAGCCATAGCAGCTTCTCAAAGTTTCCATCGTCCCAGCCTCGAAGTGTTATGGATGGACTGGGCATCTCCCATGACCTAAGGACTCCCATGAAACACCCATATCCATACGGAAGCTTCTAAAATGGAGCTACCCCAAAAACTATGGGTTTCAATACTAAAAGTGGGCCAATTTTGGATGATTTGGGGTACCTCTATTTCGGAAACCACCATATTATGATTATGATGGTATGGAATCCCCTTCTCTTCACACCAAAAACGCTGGGGGGCTTGCCTCTTGTCACCTCAAAAATTCCCAGCCATGCTTCAATACAGCTCAAAGAGCCTCTGGTAAACTAAACTGACTAAGCTATGGAAATCACCAGTTTTTAAGATGTTTCCACTTCGGTAAATCATCGAACTATACATGGGACATGTTGCATCTTCGCTATGTTACATGGGTTTGACTGAAAATAGGGTCACTCCATCCATTGGGTCATCATGTTTCCCATGAAAATGTGCATTTTTGTTGTATCCCCCATTTTTGGACACTGCCATATCATGTGGGTAAAACAATGCCATAAATCATCCCAAAAAACACCATAAATAGTTGGTATAAACCATTCCCAAATGGGTGGTTTATGACATTGTTTTTTCCCATTATATATCATATACCACTGTAAACCATTTGTAAACCTCGGTATCCCATTATAATATAAAGACTATATACCATGTATATATCATTATCATATATCCTCATAGCTATTAATTTTGTTTATGACATTGTTACATTGTTTTAGCCACATTAGTCGCTATCAAACATGATTAAACCATATCATAACCATAAAAATACCCTATCAATATTCCTCTCATATCCATTCTCCAGGCACGAAGATATGAGATATTTTGTTCCTCTCATTCCAAAACAGGGAGTAGGTAGTTTTATCATGTTTTACCCTCTGGTAAACAAACATAGCTATTGAAAATGGTGATTTGTAGTGGATTTATCCATCAAAAATTGTGATTTTCCATAGTTATGTTAGTTTACCAGAGGGTATCCACAGTGAATTTCTCCAGGCCTCCCGGCAATCGAGGCACGTCTCCTCATCACATCCCAGTGCTTGTGCCAGCGCAGGCAGACTACAATGATCCCAAGCAACCAAAACCTGGGACGTGGGACATCGGGGATTTACCCCGTGATTTACGAGTTGGACCTTGGAAAATTACCCTCCGGTAATTTTCTTCGTTTCTGACTGTTCCCAGCCATGTTCCGGAGGCGAGTTCTGCCGTTGCTTCAGCACCATCCGCAACGCCCGCAATTTTCACATATGGTTTATGGGTTCAAAACCATATAGTACCCTGAGTCAATACAAAATCATCAAAAATTCATAGTTGTTTTTACTCAATTGATTCCCGCAGTCCTTTTTTGCAATTTCACCATGGTAACTTGACCAAACTCCGAGGCTTCCGACCGTTTCTTCGCTTCTTCCAGAAAGGCACTGTGCCTGGGATCTACGACATCCTGGGACTACTGTGACCTTTTCGAAAAGCTATGGCCTGGTTGTCCTATGATTTCCCGGTTGTTGTTTTGGATTTGTAGCAACAAAAAAAGGGGCGACAAAAAAATTGGATTTTCCATGGGATTTTATGGTGACTTAATGATTATTAATGGGATCTCTATAGATAGATGATAGTGGATAGGTGATCTGGTTGGTGGTTGAAAAACCATCTTGAAAAATATGAGTCAATGGGAAGGATTATTCCATCCCATATATGAAATGGAAAATAATCCAGCCATGTTTGAAACCACCAACCAGATACTTTTGGGACATCAAATCCTAGCAATTTTGGGGGGTCCAAAATCGCCATGTTGGGCCGGCCTCATTTTGGGTGGACAAAAGATGCCAGGTCCATTAAAAAGGCTCACCCTCTGAGTTTCTTTCCTACGAAATGATCATATTGTTGGCATGACATTTCGCTACCCCATTTTCCAGACATATAGGGGTTTCCATAGTCATGGTGGTACCTCAAATAAAATAGATGGTTTAGTTCATGGAAAATCCCATGAAAATGGGATGATTTAGGGGTACCCCTATTTCAGGAAACCTCCATATCCAGATATCCATATCCAGATGATTTAGGGGTACCCCTATGTCTATATCCCATGATATCCTCATGATCCTCATGAAACACCCGTGAAAAATCATCCCACAAGACGATGCAAACGCCACGCCTCGCGCTCGCTTTCCAGCGATTGCACCAATCCCAACGCTCCGCCCTGAGAAAAGATGGCTTAGATTGTGTCGATGTTTCGAATTCTCATGGGGTATATTGTATATACTAGGTATATAACCAATGATTCATTGGTAATTAAATGATTGCCCGGCCTGGTAAACATACAAAACACGAACTGGAAAATCACCATTTAAACAATGGGTAAATCATGGTAAATCCACTATTTCTATGGCTATTTTCAATAAAACCACTTCCTTGGAGGATCAGCTGGCAGCCAAGGAATCGGCTCGGGTCAACATGTCAGACCCACCAAAAATTCTGACCGCCAGTGGGAGATGTCTTCATCAAAAAGACATACAAAAGGCCTGGTAAACATACAAAAAACATCAAAAAACGATGGAAAGATCCACCATGTTTACATATTTTTACTAGGTAAATCAACTACTTCGACTGGGCCATTTTCAATGTCGCAAACTGTTAGTTTACCAGAGGGTAAACATTAATTCGTCATAGACCTAAAGTTAAGCAGATTCCGATTTTAGTCCATTCCATCTGTAACATAGTTCAAAACCTGGTGTCCAAAACTGTTTGATCCAATGCTTAAACAAACTGTGGTTGCCATGCCTCAAAACTCAAAGTTGAGGGAACCCTTAGTTTTACTTGTTCTCAGTTCATTGTTCAGACTATAAATAATATGTAAAAATGGTGATTTTCAATAGCTATGTTAAATTACCAGAGGGTATGTGCTAGGGTCAAAAGGCGGTGTTTTTCATTGATGATTCCCCCAGTGAAAATGGCTGAAAATCATCTCCAACGGACGTATCGCCATCCCATTCAGGGGATGCATAAAGGGCAAATCAATACCAAATCCTGATCAAGCATGGGGACACATACCGTATGTTGAATCCGTAGTTTGCTTGTGAAGTCAGAAATCCCAGAAATCCAAAATCCCAAGTCTTCCAAACGCTCATGTTCCCATCTTTGATGCCTCCATATCCCCCATATTCCCGATCGGGGCCTCATCGAAGGTGGTGTTGACCAACAACCGTAGACGCTGAGCCAAAGGCCACAGCAAAAACCTGCTAAGTTGGTTTGTAGCTCCAATAACTAGGGTTTTCGGGGATGGAACATGATATACCCCCTGGTTATTTAACATAGCTATGGAAAACAGACCATTTATAGATGATAAAAATGATGATGTACCTATTAAAAATGGTGATTTCTCATAGCTACGTTAAATAACCGCAGGGTAAGGATAGTGAAAGGGGATTGGATCCCAAGTTGGATGTGATCCGTGAAGATGAACTAAGTCCTGAAGCCAGAAAATGCTACCCGGATGCCCATGTTTTCAATGGTACTTTTCATAGGGGAAAATGATGATTAAGCCACCCTATTTTCATAAAGCCTTTTTTTCTGTACCTGGGGTGTGATATGGTGTTTTGAGGGGGTTACTGTATGTTGCATGTGCTGAAATTGTTATGTGCTTTACATCTACCATCGAATCATGTCTGTTTTTTCAAGAGCTACCCTCCAGTAAATTAACATAGACCCTGGCAGATGGGGGTTGGAAGATTAGTTTCCACTAAAAATTGGTCATTTTCAGGGTCTATGTTTATTTACCATAGGGTATCTTTGGGCAGGTAAACTACCTACGCTTGAAAAGGGAACATCGGCCAATCGAGGATACCCGAATCAAGAATCAAGCGTTGGAGAGGCTGGTTGATGTATCCAAACATCAAAGTAGCCAAAGATCAACTTAAGTAGTTTGGTAAAAACCTTGGTAAAAACCCATGTTTGATGGTTAACTTGGTAAAAACTACCTTGGTAAAAACCTTTAAACTACCTTGGTAAAAACCCATGTTTGATGGTTAACTTGGTAAAAACTACCTTGGTAAAAACCTTAAGTACTAAACTACCTTGGTAAAAACCCATGTTTGATGGTTAACTTGGTAAAAACTACCTTGGTAAAAACCTTAAGTACTAAACTACCTTGGTAAAAACCCATGTTTGATGGTTAACTTGGTAAAAACTACCTTGGTAAAAACCTTAAGTACTAAACTACCTTGGTAAAAACCCATGTTTGATGGTTAACTTGGTAAAAACTACCTTGGTAAAAACCTTAAGTACTAAACTACCTTGGTAAAACCCATGTTTAATGGTTAACTTGGTAAAAACTACCTTGGTAAAAACCTTAAGTACTAAACTACCTTGGTAAAAACCCATGTTTGATGGTTAACTCACCATATAGAAATGTTCAACTCTCGACATTTCTGATGGTTAACTCAACATGATCATGCCGGTTTTTATGTTCACGTTTAACCATGATATCATGATGATAATTGGGGATATCAAGTGGGAAAATGGTAGCTTATGATTTTTGTACAGTACCCCTTATTTCATGGTTAGCTTCCCATATTTTGGTGGTTAAACCCCTGTCTTTGACGATTGAATCGATATGACCCCCATCCAGTCCCAAGTTTTTTCGCAGGAATTGCTTAGGAAGCTCAATCTAAAACTCAGGTGTCCATACCAACAGAACAAAATAGGAAAAACATATCCATCTCATCTCTTAGAGCACAATCTCTTTGATATTTCCCATTGTATATGCAACAATGTTGATCATTGGGCTCATCAATTGCAAGATGGCCCCCTGTTATAAGTTGGTTTTCGCTGAATCTACCATAAATCACAGAATTCACGTAGCTATAAACCAACAGACAGCTATCATCAGCTACAAATCCGCTATAAACTCCCATGAAATCCCCATTTTTCTTGCTTAAATCATCTTAAATCAGCATTTTCCTATGCGTTCCTCAACCAAAAAGTCTGGGAAAACGCATAGCTTCATGAGCCACGGCACAAGTCTCGGCTGGTGTAGACGCCTCGCTTCAATCTGCGCGCGTAGAGCCTGATGAGGACTTGGGTAACCAATAATTGCCCAGAGTTCAGATTGGTGAAGTATTCTCTGTCAAAAGTTTGACGAGACAAATTTATGGTTGGATCTCCTTGTTTTAGCAGGAAAAAAAGATCTACAGTTCCGGACGAGCCATTTTCCATTGTGATATTTAGATTCCCAGAGTGTACCACAGCCAAACACAAACCCAAACCAGGAAAAAAACAAATAAACATTAAAGAGACCACAACCTTAGCGTTACCCTCTGGTAGACTAACATAACTATGCATAGCTATGGAACATCACCATTTTTTAATGGGGAAATCAAAAAACTGAATGGCCATTTTCAATGTCGCAAACTGTTAGTTTACCAGAGGATAGTTTCCCTGTTTCTAAGCCTCAAAGTTTTCACCCCAGAGTTCCAGCAACGAAAAGGCCTGTTGGGCATGGGGTATTGACCTTCAGGCCCAAACTCCGCAGCCATATGCTCCTGGTTTTTCGATTCGATGGAAGATCATGGGAGATACTGAGGTTTTTGATGGGATATTAAATTTATAGTGGTGAGTAAAATGAAATTTGAAAACAATGACACATAATGATTTTTAGTGAACCTATGTTGCGTCTTGTTACTTGTTGGGTTAGAATAGGTATTTGACACCACGTGAGTGCGCGGTTGAAACCTTTTTCTACAACTAAACTAGTTCTGGGAGTACAACACCATTGAACACCTTTCCCACGATGTTCTTGTGGGGAAAGAAAATATTTGAGGTTCGACTTAGTATAAGTAAATTGGCATGTTTTTTCTTGCACTCGGGGTACCCTCTCTATGACCCAATCAGTGGGATACAGTTACAAGCCCTCAAACTTGTCAAGAGTAGGATAGCTTGGGTTTGAATTCATAATAGCATCACACCCTAGTCATGAATTTAGCTCTCCAAACATCAATACGCTTGATCTGTTGCTTGTTGCGGTCCCCGTGCTTGTGCTCCCCCCGACAAACGACCGAAAACTGCGCACATTGCGCACCCCGCGCAAGTAGCCCTGCTCGGTGCAAAGCTCCATTTTGGTGGGCTCCTACGGCAAAACTCGAGGTTTTGGCACGACATTAGGGGGTGAAACCATAGTCATGGTAGTACCCCGAAATTGCTGGATGGTTTATTGAACATTGTAAAATCCCATGAAAATTTGGATGAGTTGGGGGTAGCCATTTTTTTAATACAGTCGAAATGGTGATTTTTTCCATCGACAAGAATTGCAAAATCATCAACGGAAATGAGGATTTCACCTAGCTGTAGTATCAATGGAAATGAAAAATGTTCGCCAACAAAGATGCGGACCTGACCATCAAGAATGTGCCCTTCACATCAGTTGACTACTACAGTCATCAATAGCATTGCCCCACCAAAATGCAGATTTGATGGGATGCTAAAGAATATATAAGAATATCAACACAAGGGATTCAAGAGTTGCAGGTATCAAAGCTAAGATGGTCATATTCTCACACGAGGGATTGGCAAGAATGGGGGTCTTTTTCCGACAAATGCATACAACCTATCAGTACCTAGGAATAGGAACAAAACGAGATCACTGACCCTTAAGGCCCTGAATGACCTCCAACTGTCGACATTCCACGCTTTCTCCGGTCTCAAAATAGCTGGCTGCCCCTGCTGATTTCCAGTCGAGCAATGAATTCGGCACGTGGACGGGCGCTGCACGGCTCAGGCTGTGCGCTTGCAGGAAACACAAAACGCTACCATCGAAATCGATGCTTTCCCGACTCGGGTTCCCAGTGATCCAGGAAACCCCAGGAAAGCCCCGCACATCGAAATCCGTGCCCGGAAAAATATTCACCCTGGGACCCTGAAACATGGGATCCTCACCCTGGAAGCCAAGCCCGTCCACGGAGTTTGCAAAGCGATTTCAGGAGGTGGAAAACTCAGCAAACTGTGCAGCAAGAGGCAACAAGTTTTTTTGCGTCCCGAAAATTGGAGGCAAATTCCTTTTGGGAATAAATATAAAATAATAAACAGAAACATAAATAGAAAAATAAATAGAAAAATAAATAGAAAATCAACGGAAAGTCCTTGCCAAATAGGTCCGGTTCACCCATCTACGTTGTAACTCTTGTATGTTTTTGTGTGCCATCATCCATCAACATGTACGAAATCCATCGATATGGGGATGGGTTATATAAATCCTATGATCGCCATATTTCGGGAAGATGAATAAGCACCCATTAACCAACGGTTTTAGGGTACCTGAGGTACCAGGCTTTTGACCCATATCCAGGTAGCTCCCATGATATCCAGATTCAGCTGCACAGTCAGCCCTTGAGCCCTTGACCGGCCTTCAGCCCCACACTCTGGTCACGGCCCATTCATGGGCAAAACAAAAAACGTCGCTATTTGAGAACTGCCAAGAACAGCACATGATGTATTTCTCAAGATTCATAGGCCCTCTGGGTGGATGGGAATGGCTCAAAAATGCTGAAAATCATACGTACATTGCCGCCAACAAAATCAGTGGCTTTATACTACCATCATGACAATCTCGTAAGTTCAGTGGCACCCTGGTGGCTGCATTTTGCCCACCATTCTGGAGGTTCGCCCCGTTTTGTCCAGCACCAACGGTGATGAAATGGGTGGTGGTAACGGCCTGAACGGACACCATGCCAAAACGAAAACCATTGGATGGTCAAGTGTGGTCAAGGGGGAAGCTGAGGGATGTGGGGCCCCTAATATGTGCATGTGTGTATAGGAATGTATATAATATAGATATATATATATATATAGATATATATAGACTTGTCTATTAAATTAAACTAATTAAACATATCAGAGATTACACAGCCAGTACAGATGCGGTCAGGTGTCATCCGCTGCTCCCAGGTATCGGTGGATCCACGGGATGGTTTACATGGGTTTTATGGGAAATCTGCTGGTCAAATCACCTATTTCCCACAGATCTAAAGTGAATTTGGTTAATGATGGTTAATGATGGTTAATGAAATCCGCTATCATGCCAGATTTCGAATGAAAACAGACACATGTTTAAAAAAAAAAAACCGACACATGTGTGACAGCGGCTACCCCCTAAAATTCTGAATCTGATGGACACTGCGAAAACATGCTGAGGAACCCTGGCGGCATCACTGCTCTGGCAGCGCCTGCCATTGAGTATGAGTGGCTACGTTCAATGGCTTACATACAAATATGTATATATTATAGATACATACAGGTAAGTGATTATGTATATAAATAAAATGTGTCTATAAAATATATGATTACGTTTATGATATAATACGCGTATACATATTATACATATATAATCATATATATATATAATTATATGTGTGTGTGTGTGTTTGTTGCAAGTGCCGCCCGCAAAATTCAAGAACGATTAATATCAAGGGCCGTTGCAAATGCCAGCGAAACACAAAGCTGGAGACCGTGCAGATGATGATCGTGAAACCATGGAGACTGTGCATCAAACTATCTGCAGAAATTCTCATCTTTAGAAACACAGTTCATCACAAGAATATAAATCTGAGTCATGAAAAATACCCCCCCCCCTCCCATGAAAATCACATCATGGATATCATGACTACTGATCATGACTAACTATATAAACAGGGATGTTTATGAACTAACCATAGTATTCATGACAAAAACCCATCATTCTACTGGTTAGTTCATAGATATCCCGGCCCATCATCATCCCCAACTGGGGTCCAGCCGGTCCAGCCTTCCTCCCAAAGGATCGGTGGAGGTACCTGACCGGGCGTGAGTACAGTGTAGCCTCTGGTAAACAAACAGTTTGCTATTGAAGCCATGGCCCAGTCACAGTCGAAATAGTGGATTTTCCCAGCTATAAAATGGTAGATCTTTCCATCGTTTTTTGTATGTTTACCAAAGGGTAAATGCTGAGTAACTGAAAAAGAACCACGGACCAAGATCCACTGATTTCAGCTACTGAAGTCAGCGCAATCGCTCGCCTGGCGTGCATACTTGCGCCCTGGAGACTCCTGGCAACATGAAATGCAACTTAGATGCAACCAAGCGCCCAATCATCTGGGGTTTGGGTGATTTTTGCCACCAACAAGCACTTTTACAAGGGCGAATCTTGACCATGTGCCCAGGAGAAAAACATGGTGGTGTCCGGAAATGGCATGGTTAGGGGATCACTTTGAGCACCAAAAAGTGGGTCACTTAGAGCACCAGAGAATGAGACCTTTAGGGTTTAACTTCGGGACACGGGGCTGGGACATGGGGCGGATTTATGGGACAAGTCGGGACACGGGGCTGGGGTGGGTTTAGGTGACAGCATGGTGGATTAGAACCAAAGAATCACATCTTTAGGGTTTAACTTGGGGACAGGGGGCTGGGACAAGCGGGGACACCGGGCTGGGACATGGGGTGGGGTTCAGGGACAGGTGGCTGCGACTGGGACATGGGGTGGGTTTAACGGAGTGGGGACACGGGACTGGGACACGGGTTCGGTTACTTGGAGGGACTACTGGTTGATTTCGGGCCGGAAAGCGGATCGCCTGGAATGTGTACCTGTGTGCATCTATCAATGTCACCACGTGCGTGCTTCAGTGCTTCAGCGTGTAGGCACGTATGAATGTGTCCATTTATGTGTCTATGTCTCTGTGTCTATATGATTCTATATGTAGCTATAGTGCTATGCATCTCTTATGTGTCTGTGCCTGTCACTTTCCGGCGTTCCAAGCGATCCACTTTCCGGCGCTCCAAGCGATCCAATTTCCGGCGCTCCAAGCGAACCCCCGACCAAATGGGGCATCCCCTTCTGGGGGAAACATAAGCCATATTTTGACAGCGAACATGCGGATCCGAAGTCGCTCTCCGACTCCAAGCTTTGACCATGGCACAATCTGGGTTGTCTGAAATACCCCCAAATCCACCCCAGGGGAACCAAGGCAGGTGGACCCAGCAGAAGTAACAGCAGCAGCAACTGCGGCAACCGAAGTTTCGAATCCAACAACCTAAACGGCTTGGAGCAGGCGGCTGGTTCATGGTATACCCTCGCAATTCATCAAGTACAACAGATCTTGATGGAAATGATTGGTTGGTGGTACACCTACCCCGCTGAAAAATATGAAAGTCAGTTGGGATGATGAAATTCCCAATATATGGAAAGATAAAATTCATGTTCCAAACCACCAACCAGACAAGATTTCTGCCACTCTATGATGCCGCAGACATCATTTAAAACGTCTTGATAAAAAGCCAAGGCCCACGCGACACAAGCAGCAACACACACAGCAAGCCAAAATGGCCTCAGGCGAGGTGGGCGTCTTCGAGGCGAACCCCAGTGGCTTGGTATCAAAAACGGCAAGCTGGTGAAATCCCCACACTTTTCATGGGCAAAAAAACGTGGGAAAATCATCGAACCAAATGAGGATTTTCCAGCCAGCCCCCTTTGACTTTTTTCGAAGCTGTATGAGGTATCATGAAGTGCCGATGGACCGATGGACCTAAAAAATCCATCTTGGAATCTTTGAAGTAGTGGCTGTTTTTGCTACGGGGGTGGCCTGAAGTGAGGTAACCAAACATCATCCAAATTTTGTCATCATTTATGGGGAAACCAATGGTTTCGGTTGTCCCCATTTTGGGAAACACCTGTATGTGTAAGTGCCATAGAACGAGTCCTGTGAAGACAGCATATTGTCAATTGTAGACTCATCCCACCCCTTCAGCTCACCAGGAAAGATCAGGATTTTCGCACCCCCAAGAAACGTCCGACACGCTCTGACAAAAGGCAACCCCAAAGACAGGAATTCATCAAATCCAACTGCAGTAGAAAATCACATGTTCATACATTCTGGTAAACTAACAAAAAACTATTGAACATGTTGAACATGGCCATTGAAATAGTGGATTTACCCATTGTTTTAATGGTGATTTTCCATCGTTTTTTCTATGTTTACCAGGCCGGGTAGGTTTGCTACGAAAAAACTTACCCTGCAGCTGTCAGCATCACCCCGACTGAGCTTGGCTGACCAGTAGAAGCACGAACGGCCTTGGACATGGCGGCCGTTGGTAAATTCGCTTACGGCCATGTGTGGTTCATGTGTGGATACTGGATACAGTATGTTGAATTTATGATTCATTTTGTTTCATTTATAATATGTTATAATTAATGTTGGTTCGTTTCGCAATCACTCTCCCAACTAAATTCATCATAAATAACCATCTGGTTGGTGGTTTCAACAGTTTCAACCCCTCTGAAAAATATTAGTCAGTTTGGATTATTATTCCCAATATATGGAAAGTCATAAAATGCCATGGTTCCAGTCACCACCAACCAGCCATAGAGTGAAGGCCAGCTTTCCGTTTCAAGGCTCCAACAGTTCGGTGTGGAAATTCCATGAACATCCACTATTTGTAGATTGTTTTCATGTGAAAACCATGGGTTTTCCCCACATCTATGTCAGTTTACCCAGGGTACTCAATGGTTTTGCTCAAGTCACCCCCACGCCCCACAGTGGTGCCAAGCCACCCATTGCCCAACAGCAGATTTGAAAGACCTCGCGCCGTGGCTCCAGTGAGCCCTTGAGGTGCCATCAGGTCATCGGGGTTTCTTTCGATCCAGGAATCCATATCTCTGGCCTGAATACCCGGCCTGGTAAACATAGAAAAAACGATGGAAAATCACCATTAAAACAAAGGGTAAATCAACTATTTCAATGGCCATTTTCAATAGCTTTTTGTATGTTTACCAGAGGGTAATCCATATCATGAAAAAATGATCAATCGGTCAATCCTCCATTTTCAGCACCAAAAAAGCCCATCAAGATCCCTCATGAATCAGCCCATGGAATCCCATTAGAATCCAGATTCCTGGCGGAATTTCCATGGCATTTCATCGTCGTGTTTGAAATACCTGAAATGAGGACCAAGAGGCCCGGAGTGCATCCATTTATACACTTCGAGATCAGGTAATCCCCTGCTAAAAAGTTGACAATACTAAAGTAGTGGCCCATTGCGTTGAACCCATCTAACCCAAAAACACCCTCAAAATCGAGATCTGTCTGGCGACATTGTCCAGGATAGAGCCAGATCTAGCTATCTAAAACCGACATAGGCCGACATTGAATTCGGATTCTCCTGGGAAATGCGATGCATTTCCACCAATCAAAGGGAAAAGTAACGCCCCTACACAGTTGTCTGAGTTTGTTTACAACAAACTGTCTACGGACGGGTGTATGATATTGAACATCTGCAGTAAGTCATTCTTGAATGTGTTTGATGGATTCGTGAACATGGAGTTACAACAGTACAGAAAAACTGCAAATCTTCAGATGCACAAAAAAACTACAATACATCACCCCCCAATAAACCAAACTCCAAATCTTCAGACCATAAAAATCCATAAAACCTGATTACAATACATAAACCCTACAAAATCGGATTTGCCCTAAAAAAAACATGCAGCTCTTGGGGTAGCCCTATTTCAGGAACTATAAAATTCACATCAAACCACGTGAGCCAGTTGGTTTTGAACAACGCTTTCCGGCTTATCATAATCCCCAACCATGGTAGTTGTTTATCCCCAGCAATCAATTCACCAGGACATGTTTATTCCAATTATTAACCACTACTAACCATGATTAACCATAGATTGACCAGTCATGGGTGGTTTATATCATTGTTTTACACATATGAATGGAATATCCAGCATATGATAGTAAAGTTTTACCAGTCATTAGTAACCATTATGGTGGATATTCCATTCGTCACTATGGTAATAACACCCATGATTATGGTAAAACTAACGGTTTATGGCATTGTTTTACCCACATTATTAACCATTCTTAACCATGAACGGAATATCCAGCCATAAGAATGGTTAATAATCCATCCAACGGCTAACCATTCTTAACCATTCTAAAGCATTTGAAGCATATTAACCATTTAACCATTAACTGGGATTATCCAGCCATATTAACCAAATGGCTCAGGAACCATCCAACGACATTCCCAGCGGCTGGCGAAGGTCAAGGTCAATCCGAAGCTGCTGGACGTGGGCCGCTCCGTGGAGGTGCCCGGCGAGACGCTGGTGGTCGCCTATAATTGGCGTCGGCAAAAAAAATGAGATGTACGAAATATGGGGGTGTATGGGATATATATATATATGTGTGTGTGTGCGTGGATTAAAATTATATATATATACATATGATCATATATGATCATATATGTATATTTTGTCATTGCTATAACAACTTTCACTGTTATAATTATTCTATGTATACACATATACATAAATGTACGTGTGTGTGTGTATGTTGATATAACGTGTGTGAGATTGTTTTAGATATGTTCGCGACCATATTGAAACAAGTGAGATCCAACACACTGATCATGACTGGTCGTGTCAGGCCTCCATGTCATTCCCCAATGATTGTTTGGGTTGGTGGTATACCTACCCTCTGAAAAATGATGGAGTGAGTTCGTCAGTTGGGAGTTGGGATGATGAAATTCCCAAACCACCAACCAGTACTGTTTGCGTTGACTAAGGGTTCATTGAACGACCAATAAACACAACAAGACGGGCGAATCTTTACTCCAATCCCGAACCAAAACTGCAGCCAACAGGATCCTTTTTGAACCTGGATCCCTATGTTTCATCAAGTCGAACTTGGCCACAAAAAATTGTTTTCTTGATGGTGTCACAACCTTCAAAAAAACAACAAAATTATATATAATATATATACATACATACATAGATATCATGAAAAAATATCACAAAAATGGCAAAAACTATCACAAAAATGGCGCGAAACTGCCAAGCTGCTTTGTTTTTTGGTGCTTTTCTGGTCATCCCAAGGCTTCAGTTACCCCAGCCCACCTCTGCGACCTGTACACTGCATGGACCCTGAGACGATGAACTCGTGGCGGGCTGCTGTTCTACCCTTCGGCAATCAGACATGGCTATTTACCATAAATTGAGGTAAGCCCCTCATCTGTGACACCAAATTTCCCTCAGATTTGACACCAAAACACCCCTGATTTTCACTCATCCGCGACACCATTTTTCCCTCATCTGCGACACAATCCTGCAAATGCCTGTGCCTTTCATGGATTTGGGACACCATTTCTCCCTCATCTGCGACACAATTGCCTTTTAGGGTTTTGGGGTGGGTGGGGTGGTGGGGTGGGGTGGGGTGGGGCAATAACGTTCATGTACCCGCGCGCACACAAGCACTGCACCCTCATCACACAAGAGCTGCACGTTCATCATGGTTCACTATTGGGGTGGGGTGGGGCAATAACGTTCATGTACCCGCGCGCACACAAGCACTGCACCACAGCCCTTTCTCTTTCTGGTGGTCCGTTTTGGCCGCTGAGCGGCCCAAATCCTTCAAAACGGATCTCCCCACCCCTGCCAAAAACGGACACCAGAAAGAGGAATGCAAGGAGCACGGGCAACCAGATGGGAACGAGAACAGCTGGTGAGGTCCGCTTTGAAGAAACGGACCACGAGAAAGAGCAATGAGCACAGCTAACCAGATGGGAAGCAGAGGAGCTGGGGAGGTCCGTTTTGAAGGATTTGGGCTGCTCAGCGGCCAAAACGGACCACCAGAAAGAGCAAGGAGCACAGGCAAGCAGATCAAGAGCAGAAGAGGTGGGGAGGTCCCTTTTGAAGAACTTGGGCTGCTCAACCCCAACACGGACCACCAGAAAGAGCAAGGAGCACAGCCAACCAGATGGGAACGAGAAAAGCTGGGGAGGTCCCTTTTGAAGGATTTGGGCCGCTGTGCGGCCAAAACGGACCACCAGAAAGATCAAGGAGCGCAGCCAAGCAGATCAAGAGCAGAAGAGCTGGGGAGGCCCGTCTTGATGGATTTGGGCTGCTGAGCGGCCAAAAAGAACCACCAGAGAGAGCAAGGAGCTCTTCTGCTCTTGATCTGCCTGACTGCGCTGCTTGCTCTTTCCGGTGGTTCGTTTTGTCCACTGAGTGGCCCAAATCCTTCAAAGCGGACCTGCCCAGAAGTTCTCGTTTGAAAACGGACTTCCCCAGCTGTTTTTCTGCCTTGCTACCTTCCGTTTTGGTGGCTGAGGAGTGGACTCCGCCGCAGCTGCATCAGTCAACATCGTCCCAAAAGACATAATGGCGCGACTACCAGTGATCGCAGGTTGGGAGAAATTCAAGGTGGCCATGCAAGCTTTCACGTAACAATGCAGAAAGCGCAAAATGTCCAGAGTGCCAATCGAACAAACCCTTGCAACATGCCAAACAATTGCGCTTAGATTCAATCCTTGCAACCTAGGGGCCTGTCTCGGTTCCTATTCGCAGACTCCGAGGAAGTTTCGATTGTCAGCGTCTTGCCACTGTAGCGCGCTACACCTCTCCAACCACACGCCCGGCACTCTCTGCATCGTATCCTGATGCGAGTCTCGGAGCCACGTCGTGCGCCAGTTTGAAACGCCACGGAGCACTTCAAGTACTCTCGCACCTTGCGTTGGACCTCTTTGGTCGTCAACGTCGGCCCCTCATGGCTCTGCGTGTGTTTGATCGCTAGAGGGGCGCCTGCCGCCGCCGGTCGCTTCAGTCGTTTTACGACCTTGCCGGCCGGCCGTTTCCTGGCTTGAGCCGCCATTCTATGCAATCGTCCCATCAGATGTTGCCGGTGACTTAACAAAAACCATCCTGGTCACACAAGCACTGCACGTTCATCATGGTTCACTTGAATAATTATGTCTAAATACAAACAACAATGTCTGGCTCATCAACAGCAAATGCTTTTTCAAATCTCTTCACCACGTTTCGCTCTTCCAAGTGAGACAACCAAGGCAGCTGGGTCATCAGCGACGTTCCGGCGCTTGCAAGTTCATCTCTGGCCGATTCCTGAACCGCAGCAGGATTGCTCGATGCGTTTCCATCGTTTCTGTCCTCAGTGGAATGATAGCATGCATGCAAGTACAATTACTTTACTTCGTGTGATCCCCACCATGACATTTATACATTTTCTTACTGGCAAATCTTCTGGCATTCTATCTGACATATCTTCTGACATTCTATTTGACATTCTATCTGGCATATCTTCTGGCATATGATCTGGCATATCTTCTGGCATTCTATCTGGCAAATCTTCTGGCATTCTATCTGGCATATCTTCTGGCACTCTATCTGACATATCTTCTGGCATTCTATCTGGCATATCTTCTGGCATATATTCTGACATATCTTCTGGCATTCTATCTGACATATCTTCTGGCATATATTCTGACATATCTTCTGGCATATCTTCTGGCATATCTTCTGGCATATCTTCTGACATATCTATCTGGCATATCTTCTGACATATCTATCTGGCATATCTTCTGGCATATTTTCTGGCATTCTATCTGGCAAATCTTCTGGCATTCTATCTGGCATTCTATCTGGCATATCATTCTCTGGCATATCTTGGCATGGCATATCTTCTGATTCTTTCTGACATTCGTTCTAACTTTCTTCTGCACATTCTTTGTCCCATATCTTCCTACATGAGGTCCGGCAGGGAACACTTGGCGTGGATACTCGCGGTTGAGGTCCGGCAGGGAACACTGGGCGTGGATGGTCGTGGTTGAGGTCCGGCAGGGAACACTGGGCGAGGATGGTCGTGGTTGAGGTCCGGCAGGGAACATTGGGCGTGGATGGTCGTGGTTGAGGTCCGGCAGGGAACACTGGGCGTGGATGGTCGTGGTTGAGGTCCGGCAGAGAACACTGTGGATCGCGGGTCGCAGTTGAGCAAGGACGACGAGGACGACGAGGAGGACGAGGAGGAGGAGGACGAGGCAGGAGGAGGCGGAGGAGGAGGAGGAGCAGGAGGAGGAGGAAGAGCAGGAGGAGCAGGAGGAGGAGGAGGAGGCAACTGACATAAAATCTAACAACCCTCACCTGGCAGGTGGGGAAAAAACATCTGCCTGGTACAATGTTATCTTACTGCACCAAACGCTTCACCAAATGCCAGGCAAATAAAAGTTTGAAAAGGCGCCAAATTATTTCAGTTGCTTCTGACAACGCCTGTTGGTACCTCAAACCTAATACTACTAAGTGCTCACTACTACCTACGCCCTATGTGCAAAAGGAACAACAAAAAACATGCAGATCTCATCATTCAATGAAAATCTCAGCGTTTGTATCTGCACAAACATGTTCCAATGCTTGGACCACAAGAGGCCACTCTATCATCTGCGACTAAGGCACACATCCCTGGCCATAATGTCATCTTGCAACAGGGCAGTGACAAGTTGCAAATCCTTCACTTCCACTGCAGGCTCAGGCACACGAGATGTTCGCCTCGACAGCCAGATGACTTGAGAGTTTTCCCCGAACTTTTGCGTGTCCAGACAGCGTGTAATTGTCAATGTAGGGGGTAGCAAATCAATGCATGGAATGAAAGCCGCAATAGCTACGAAACGGAGTAAGATCAGGTTCTACACTTTGAGCTGAATCTATAGGCTGCTGCATGCTTCGCTACTCTTGGTTTGACAGAAGCTGCCTGTGTCGGGCTGCTCGCTGGCACCGTGCGAAAAACATAGCTGCCCAATCTTCAAGAGCAACTTGCAGTTGCAAAGAAGCTCCTTGAGTCAGCTTCGGCAGCTCGGTCTGCGTCTCCCGCTCCGCACGGATGGTCTCCATGCAGGAACGGAGAAGATTGTTCTACCGCGCGGCCACAGAATGGCATCATAAAATGATGTTGGCAGCGACACAAATTAAGTCACTGACCACCGAGACAGCTGACAACACTGCGTGTCTGGAGAAACATGATCGGCATGCAAGAATGGCTGTATCTGACTCTTACGGATTCTACTACCTGTCTGACGAAAAGGCAGAAAAACCATATGCTAAGGATCGAAGGGTGCCCAAACACCTGCAGTCTCCTCCAGGAGATACAACAAAAAAGTCATGTGAGAACGGCAGAACTTGGAATGATATGTCAGAAGATCCAGCTGTGTCAAACAGTCACTCATTCTGCAATCTATCAAGCAGGCTACCTCTCCTCCATCTGTTGGTCATCCTCCACCGGTCTCTCACCTGAAGTCTCCTCCAAGAGATCCAAAAAACCAAAGTCATGTGACAATGGCATAAGATCTGAACTTGGCGTGACACGTCATATGATCCAGCTGTGTCTAACGGGCACTCAATTCTACAATCTATCAAGCAGTCTACCTCTCCCCATCTGAATGTCATCATCCACCGGTCTCTCACCTGCAGTTTCCTCCAGGAGATCCAAGTCATGTGACAACGACGTAAGATCTCAACTTGGTGTGATATGTCATCGATCCAGCTGTGTCAAACGGTCGCTCATTCTGCAATCTATGAAGCAATCTACCTCTTACGGATAAAACACGCAGCGTCAGACAGACGAAGGCGCATACCCACAGCCAGCCCAGTTCGTACATGCCACGCCTTCCACACAAAAGCAAGCAGAGTCAATGCCAACAAGTGCCATGCCAGCCACAGAAAAGCAGCGTCTATGTCACCATGTGCCACGCCTGCCACAGTATCAAAAGCCGCAATGTCACGAAGACAAATTGGAAGCATCACATCCAGCCCACTTCGCACATGCCACGAATCCCACGCGCAATCAAGCACCGTCAAGATCACCAAGCACCACACGTGCCATACACAGTGACCGTCGATGTCACACAGAGGCACGCCTGCCACGGACACGATCCGCGGCGTCATAAAAAACACGGCTCGACTTCCAAGCCGCGCCCGCTACAGAAACGCAACATCGATGTCACCATGCACCACACAAATGGACACGCATTAGACACACACCGCGCGTCAAATCCGAGGGAAAACTACAGAAACGCAACGTCGATGTCACCATGCACAATACGTGCCACACAAGGGGACCATCGATGGCACCAAGTGCCACGCCTGCCACGCAAAAACACACCTCGCGTCACAACCGAGGGCACGCGTCATATCCGAGGAAACGCGTCCGCGTCATATCCGAGGGAAATTTCCGCGTCACAACCGAGGGGCTTTCCATAAATTGAAGTTTATAGTTGGAAACATCATCTGTGGGGAATTGTCAGCTGCTATGTTTGAGTACCAGAGGGTAAGTTTGAATGATTTCGAATTGTGTGTTGCTGTGTTTGAAGATGTATTCATTCTCAACTCCTGGGTGATTTTGAAGTTTACATTCGCACAGGGAAAAAGAAATCAATGACAAACGCATGCAAAATGACCCTCGAAGTGGCCAGAACACAAGAAAATGCCAGAAATCATGGTAATCCCTTCCTCCTAATAGATCCTAATAGCAAAATAGAATAAAATCGACTAAATAAACCTCCAGAGAACCCATGTTTTAGTCTTGGATCTGTTCATTTTAAGGGGTCAATGGGTCCATCACATTCCCATTCCTCAGTCGCCCACCAGCACAGCGCTGCTGGTCCAACCCACATCGCAAACCTGGGTTCCAGAGAGGGGTCCAGTTACGTCACTGCTGGTCATTCCTGTAATTCACTGATGATAAAAAAAGGGAAATTGGATTTTCCGTAATTTACCCAGCTGTAATTCAGTAATTCAATGATATTCAAAGCAATTGGATTTGAATCTGAATGATTTATATATAATATGGGTTTGTCTGGAAATAGGGTATATTCCCAATGAAATAGCCATTTAAAAACGGGATAATGATCAGCAAAACCATTGGGTTTAGGGGTACACTATTTTCAGACAAATCCATATGTATATGTACATGTATGGTGTTCGATAAAGATCTCTACATATAGAATTTCCCATCGCTAAGCCCGTGGCGCATAGCTCTTTGTCCGATGGGTCTGATGAGTCGGGTGTGCCATGCTCTCCACAGCAGGTCCTGCCATGCAAAAAAAAAGGATTGAATGGAATGTCATGGGTCATTAAATGTCCCCATTGAACATCACCCAACCATGAATGGTATATGGTCTATAATGGCTACTATTTTTGGTGATGTCCAATATTCCCAAAATGGGACATTTACCAACCCCTGAATGTTTACAGCAAACACCTTGAAAACTCATGAAAAGTGTCTATTGAAGTTAGAGCAAATCTGCATGAAATGTCGAATCATGTCGATCTTCTTGCAATTCATCTGGAAATTCACCTGGAGGTAATATGTATATATATAGTTTCCTGCAGATTATTCATTGTTTTTCCCATAAATCAAACCATTGATCCATGAGACTGCATTGCAGATGCGGATGCAAGTGCTGTTGGAACCCGAGCTCGCTGGCGGTTCATTGTTTCTTCATATTTAGGCTGGAAGACCTGTGGTTGAATAATCCGAGGAAAACAACCACAATCAACGCAGATGGTGAAAATTGGGATTCTCAAGTTGGGGATGAAATATCACTCGAACTATCCAATTGCAGCGTCCGAATGCTTACGAATCGTATAGAAAAGTTGGGATCTATCCTTTCCTTCCCTGCATCTAGCATGTGAACAATCTGAGACACAACACTTGGATACTGCAGAAAATATCAATGCTGGCCACAGAACCAAAACGTTCACCGGGCTCACCCATGCCCACACATCACTATTATGACTATGAGTCAGCCATTCAAAAATGAATACCTGGGTTGGTTGGTAATGTTTTTGGGTGTCAAAAAATTACCTTAGTCATCCTTAGTCCATATCAATCAGGGATACCTATCAGCTGTGGCTCCCTGTGGCTCCGGACGAGCAAGCTGCAGCTGTAGAACCTACGGGAAGTGGGGCAGAATATTGGACCATTTGAGGCAAGGGAAAAACATCGATTGAATTCTGAATGGATATTTGTGGGATATGTTCGATCGCCAACATGGGAGCATATCCCAATGGCCATTGAAAACATGATAAACCATTTATATAGAATCTACCTACTGGGACTCTTCTGTGTTTTTGACTCCCCTGAAAAATCCAAGAATGTTTTATTGATCCTAGACATAGACCTCGAAGCCACGAAGCCATGAACTTGTGATATCATCCTCAAAGGGGGTGTTTTTTGCTGGTGAAAATGCTGAGATATGGATGTCTTTGATGTATTTGTCATGTTTTCAAGAGATCTGGAACCCAGAACCCCTGTACGTTTTCCTGCCGAAAAAAAACAGTGTGATGGTGGCTTTCAAAGGAATTCCTTCCCACTGTCTCATGGAATCACCAGAATTCAATGTCTATATATATATACATATATATCTATATGTATATATATATATGGATATATATGGAGGTTTCCTGAAATAGGGGCACCCCTAAATCATCCATTTATAGCTTCGGCTTTTCCCTTATAAACCATCCAATGCTCGCCTGTGCTGCTCGGCGCAGTGCTGGGCGCATCCGTCACCGATCTCAGGGAATCCGTGGTGAAACAGGGGCAATTTGGGCAATTGAGGCCATGAAAACATTGGAAAATGCACTATATTACATATACATTTATCTATCATAAATAGTAATTTATGGCCCATAGTCACTATATTACTGTTGTAATACATTAGATGGGCCATAATATATTCTATAAAACATATACATAAATATTACTTAGATGGGCCATGGAGTTAGTTCACTAGGAATCGGAAATGGATGATCATTGGGTTTTTTTGGGGGTTATAACATGTTATAACCCCAGTTACTAACCAGTTAGTTAATCCCATGGCCCATCAAAGTAATTGAACCATCAAAAAAGGTGGATCTAGCACTAGCCATCAAAGAAAAACGGTGACTTCATGGGATGTATAACTGGTATGTATATATATATATTCATATAGCTAAGGTGGTAAACATGACATGGTCAACTGTTCGGTTTTCTATGGAAATAACGAACTAGTTGGCGGGCCCCACCTTGTAACAATTTGACCCCCAAATCATGTTCCCATATAACAAATTACCATAAATTACCCTTGGAATATGGGGCAAAAGAAACAATCTGACAAAATCTTACCCGTATTCCAAGGCTGATCGTATTCCAGAACCTAAGAAGCAAACAAAAAGTCTGCGGCACAACATTAGGAAATATATTCACAACAAAATATTCAGAAATGGGTATGGGTCAATACCTATAGATACATTTTTAGTGGGATGAACATCCATTTACCAGCTATTTTGATGTTCACCAGGGGTACAAGGTTTTGACACACTGCCAAATAGAGAAACGACAAAAATGGGAATCAAAAATTTGGGAGGCCAAGAAAATGAGAAACAGAAAACCTGTGGAGGGCAGCCCCTCCAGCCCAGACGAGTGGCGACAAGGCATTGGTCACATCGATGCACTTGTTCACCTGGTGGGATCCGATACCAAAATCGCGGCTGGATTTAGCCATGATTCATAGGTATTTCATAGAGATTTCGAGATATGTCGTAGGTATTGAAAAGAGGATAAAAGAGGTATTATTCATCATGTTCATCCCGGGTCATATGGTATTTCAATGTATTTCATATAGGTTCTGGTCCAGCATTGGAAGAGGCTTGTTGATGGCATTCATAGGGTGGAAGATACCCAGAATCCATGGGAGTTGCTTGGGTCTAGTGGGATTTCATAGGGCGGAATGGGGTTTGTCCGAAGGGATATTTTATGGGATATATGGGATAGTCTATGGTAGATGGTATATAACCAACCAAGTGGGACTTGAGATTGCCCAACAACGGATCATATCCCAATGTTGTGGCAATTTCAACAGGGATACACTGGGATTGGGGGGTGCCCCATTGTTTGCAAAAAAATAGATAGAAACTCGTTTGGGGGTATATCTCAGCGAGAAATGCCTAAAGCTGTTGATGCTTGTTGATGCTTGTTGATTCTATTTGATGGATCGCCTACCCTCCGGTAATCAAACGTGGCTTAATGGAAAATGTGAATTTATATACAATGACAAATGATGTTCCCATTAAAACCGCCATTGCTAAGTTTGATTACTGAAGAGGACTCTTCCAGTCCAACTGCGAGCTAGCTGTGCGACGCGAAAACGGATTGTCAAGCTGCCAAAACGGCTAGAGATGAGAATTGCGAATCTGCAACTGGACAAAGTGTTGACCCGAAATCGACGTGCTCAGCTTACATTATTCCATTCGCAAGTCATAATTGACAGACATGTTTTGTGTTCTTGCTGCTTCCATCATCCTCCAATCCCTCTTTTCTAATCTCTTTTGTGGTTTGGCTGCAAGAAACCATGCCAGCGTTTGCGCGCGGCCTGCGCATCATATTCCTGGCTGGGACCACAGTCATCTGCAGGAGCTTCACACCTGGCCGATCCCAATCTGGTGTACCATTTATCATTCCTTTAAGTATAAGACATGTGTTTTATTCAAGGAAGAAAAGGCTTTGGTAGACTATATCATCTATATCTATACGAATACTCTTGTTGAAATAGATCTGTTGTCTTACAAATACCTTCTGGTAAACTAACATAGCTATTAAAAATGGCCCAGTCGAAATAGTTGAGTTACCCAGCTAGAAAATGGTGATTTTCCATACTTATGTATGGTGATTTTCCATACTTATGTAAACGGTTACCAAAGGATAATGGGGGTTGACCAACTTTTCAAAGCCTCAACCTTCACCAGTCCAAGAGCATCCACCGCCGTCCAGGCACCGTAAGTCCTGCTGGTTGAAGAAATTCCGAGCGCCGTCGTACTTCAGAGCGCAGCAGATGGTCCCACCTCAGAAGTCGGGGCATTGCGGCATTGCATCGGGTCAGGTGACCATATCATAGCCCTGTTATTTTTTTACCCCCATTAACTATAGTTATATCTACTATAAACCATAGTTAAGCCACTTATAAGGCAACTTAATTAGCTATTTTGGGGGCCCCATCCTGTATGGCTTACAGGTTTCATACTAACCACCCGGACGCGCGATCGTAGGAAGTTCGCAAGAAATGCTTATTTCATGATGTCGTGGGATTCTCATTCCATGTGTTGGAAAAAAAAAACATACGGAGAGTTAAGCCACTACCCTCTGGTAAACTGACATAACTGTGGAAAATCACCATTTTTGATGGGTAAATCAACTATTTCTATGGCCATTTTCAACAGCTATGTTAAATTACCAGAGGGTAAACCACCAACCAGTACGCAGGTGGCAGTCACTCTCATGCTGGTTGTTTAAAGAACGATCATCGCCGGGGTGTCCCGACATGGGTGACTCGCTAAACTTATGAAGCAGTTGCTGGGATGGTCGTCCAAACATGTCCAAACCCCCACGACGTCTGGGTAGGACTTGATTGTGTTTGAACCGATTCTTTGATCTCTCTCTCTCTCTCACTCTCTCTCTCTCTCTCTCTCTGTCCTCCGGCAGGGTTGTTGCAGTTTAAAGTTTAAAGACTATATTGGGTGCTCCACAGTGTATATCTTATGCATGTTACGTACGTGTACAAATTAATTAGTTTATATAAAACTACGTATTACAATATGAATATAATATATATATATATAAATAACTACATATATATATAATAGGTATACACACATATTCCATTATATTACGTAATGATGCATGTTTTCCAAGCCAGAAATGGAGCCGGCACCGCGCCGGCACCCCCTGGGAGGACAACTGGATTGGCATTCTGCATCCTGTCCGTTGAACGTGCAAGTCGCGGATCATTCCGCCAACAGCTTTAGTTGGCTTTACCCAGCAACTCATCATTTCTGGAGATAGTGGATATGTGCAGATGGATAAATTCTGGAGATAGTGGATATATGGCCCATAGAAATAGTTGATTTACCTATTAAAGATTGTGATTTTCCATATGTCAATGGGATAATCCCACGGAACTGGGACAGTGGGGTGATCCTCTGAGTTACTAATCATGATATGGGGATGTCTTTTATAGAGCATACAATAGTGGATCTTCTGGGTGTATATTAGATATAATGGGATGTAACCAATTATATGTATATATATATATATATATCTTACATTATGTGTATATATATATATATTATGAGTTTATATTATGTTATATTATATTATGTTATATTATAGTATAGTATATTATCTTTTATCATATTATATCATATATTACATTATATCATATATTATATTACAGTATATCACTTATTATATTGTATATTTCTTGTATAGTATTATATATCTTATTTTATATAAACGGTATCATTAACTGGACGACAAGTCGATGGTCCCATCATCCAATTCCTCGCCGCCTGTTCTGGGTTTGTGTGCGTCCATGTTCCCAAATTCATAGGACTTAAATAGGGTCAATTCATTGCAGGTACATAATTATGTATATATATATGAGCATATGTTTATATATATAATTATATATGAGCATATGTTTATGTTTATGTTTATATGTATATATACACATGATATATACATTATGAAAATATGTTTGTGTGTGTGTCTATGTGTATGATAGATGTATAGGTATACGGTATACACAAATATTGTCATTGTGTCTATCTATAATATCATATACATATCTCATAAGACATATATATATACCATATGTATAGTGTGTATACAATATATTATTTATATATATATCATATATATATATCATATATATATATATCATATATAGGTATTCAACACATTACTTGATATTTTCCCAATCATGGATCCATGGAATGACCCTTTCGTCGGATTTCAGAAATCCCCTGTCAGTTGCAGCTTGGGAAGCCATGGCCTGTCTGATTTACCTATGAAAAAATGGTCATGGAGTCCATAGCTATGTGAAGCGGCAAGCGTTGCATTACCTCTACATTCAATGGCGCCCTCCATTCACATCATCCGCCATCCCTGCATCCTTGCTTGTATCTTCAGTTCTATCACCAGCAGTTTCTCAGAGGGTCACCATGGTCAATCTAAGATACCTCCAAACAGCTCTGAATTTTGCTGGTCTATATCGCAAACAATGGATCGAAATTAAACTATCATAACACATGCAAGAAATGCAATATACCCAGAAACGAAAGTAGAAAAATGATTTTTTGATCGGGATTTCTAACACCCTTCTCAGACTGCCACCCACGTCTTGCGCCATGCCTGTGCTCGAACTGCATAGCAACAGCAGGCCGAGATCGCGCGGCGTAGCATGGCCACCCATGAAGGTCGTAGAGAAATTCAGAGCTCACACCATGGAGAGAGCTTCACTCACAGCGGGTTATGGATATGTGTCAACAGCAAATGGACAACATCGGGATATTACCAGCAAAAAATGCAGGTATAAGTGACGCTGTAGACATACAACAAGAGGATGGACTAGTGTTTTCACTCATTCAAGAGAACCCTAGGCATGGATTCAAGTTCCCAGCCCCGGATCAAAACAAAAAGGGCTAGAACGGCCGGTAGAACCGGAACTTGTCTTATTTCAGGAGTGGCAATGCCGTTGAAGCACGGGTCATTAATTTTGAGCCATACCTTTTCACAGGAACGGCAGCTAGAGAGTTTTGGAGCCTCCAACCTTGGTTTTTGTGCCAAGGATCGTATGGCCAGTTTCTTCCAGCTGGAAACAACCCATCTTGAAACAAACAAAGCACAACTGACAATGGGACAATATAGAATAATGGGATAATTCATGGGATTTTGAGGGATATTCGGATAACTCATGGAATATTCATGGATTATTCATGGACTATTTATGGATATACTCTCAATCAAAAGTGGCACTGGACATTTTCCCGAAATCGAGGTGTTGCTGGGAAAATCATTGAACGAAATGGGGGAGTGTCCAGCCATGTTGCCATCGCCTGCCATCGCCTGCCATCGCCCAGCCAAATCTCTCCTTGGCCCATGGCGGATTCTTGTCACAATGCCGAGCCAGAAAGAGGTTGAAGACCTCGCCAGTTGTAGCGTGGACCCGAGCTCCGTGGAGGAAAAACAAAATCTTGCTGATGGTGCCCATGAAATCCCATTTTTATATCAATACAATTCATATATATATATATATCTTATATAAAATTGATTAAAATTGGATATATCCAAATGAATCAAATGATATATCCAAAGGCCAAGAAACCATGAAATTTCACAAACCCATGAAATTTCACAAACCCATGGGTCAAGAGTCGCAATCCCGGGAGTGGTCCCTGTGGTCCCTTGTGGTCCCTGCGCATTTCGAGGGCAGAGTCGTCACCTCCCAGAGACCGAAGTAGACGTTGTGGCGAAACCGGGGAAATCCATGGGGAAAGCCATGGGAAATCATGGGAAAAGGCTGGGGAAATAAAAGGAAGCAAAGAATTGGAAAATCACCATCTTTATCCATCTTTAAGTTCGGTAAATCAACTAATTATAAATGGGCCGGTTTCAATGTCGCACACTGTTAGTCACTACCAGAGGATAAAATCACTCAAAATCAGATAGAATCACCTATGAATCACCTATTTCTCTCACGTGGCTGCTGTATCCATAAATGGGACAACCCTACATCTGCTGGTGCCTGCTGGTTTCAACCCCCCGTACATTCCCATTGGTTTTACTCAAATTCTCAAACTTCTTGCAGGCTGCATCCTACTGTACGATATCAAACATCAAATATCACAATTGTGCCTAAATTGTTCCGTGCCCAGATTTTTGGCGGGAATTCTTACAACTTGAAAGACAAGATGACAAGATGTTTGAATAACGAACACATCGTTGTCAGCTATGTTCAATTTGTTTGAACAACTAAAATCTCTTGACGCCACCCGTCCCCCGCGTTCAACACAATTGTGGCACCTCCGCTCTTCTGACTCTGAAGGCAACCAGCAGAAGTGTCATCAGAAAGGTACCTCAGAAGTTACCCTCTGGTAATTTAACAGCTTGCTATTGAAAATGGCACATTTAGTTCGTTGATTTACCTATTTAAAATGGTGATTTTCCATAATCATAGCAAACTGCTAGTTTACCAGAAGTTACCCTCTGGTAACTCAACAGCTTTCTATAGATGCCCATGGTCATGGCCGCTATCGATGGTTTACATATTCTTCTAATGGTGATTTGCCAGTTCGCAAACTGTTAGTATGTGTGGTTCAAATTGAAATGCCAATAAAAATACGTGGCTTAAGCTGAAATGGGATTCGTGAGTTTTTTGAATGCCAAAAAAAAAAGCCAGTCAGCCAGTTCCTTCAGCGGATCTCTGGCGACTACAAAGATTGCGGGGCTCATCCTGGACATCCTAAGACTTAGAGTTGCCACAACCGGACCCCAGAGTTATCTCAAAATTCTAAAAATCGACCACCCTCTGCCGTAAAAACTGTAGGGTAAACCTCATCCGAGCCACAGAAGATGACCCTCCAGCTGAAGGAACTTCGACCTCCAGCTGACAAAAAAACCCAAAAATGGGGGGATCAATTTTTGGGCTTTTTGGGACCCCAAAAAACGGTCAAAACGTGGTCGACTCTTCGACTGTTCGACATCCAATTTTTGAGCCATAAATAGCCATAAGTCATCTGGATATGGGTCGAGCCAATCACCGCAGGGCAAGATTCTCTTCGTGGCACTTGGCGATTACAGCATTGACCCATATATCTCCAACAAACAACTGGTATCTGTAACATATATCCCATATCTCCAAAGAAGCAAATAAAAACCTGTAACTTAGTCAACTGTCTGTAACTTAGTTTTCGGCAATGTTTCCTATGAATTGCAATTTCACCACCAAAAAGTGAGCAGTGTTCAAAACCCAAAAAGGATTTCCCATAAAAAAAATGGATTGTGAAAATCTCCAATGTATTGGTTAGTATAATTCCGAAATAATCAACCAACCAACTGGTCTTGAAGAATTTCATACCGTAATAGTTATAGTTATATTGTTTGTCCCATTAAATCCTATTGATATCCCATGAAATCAGCATTGAATGGGTATATAATACGGCTATATCACTTGGATATATTCATAAGATTGTACCACTAACTTGGCAATTATTGGCAATTATTACCACTACCCTCTGGTAATTTAACATAACTATGGAAAATCACCATAGCTATCATGGGAAAATCCACTATAAATGGTCATTTTCAGTAGCTATTTAATAAATTACCAGAGGGTAACTTGGTCATCAGTTCATCTCCCCTTTAATGGGTATTACGTACTTGAACTAACCACGTAGCACGGCGTTTCCGGCGTTTCCCCCGAGAAACGACCTCCCGTCGTCTCCGTCATCGTGCTTCCGCCTTCTGCAAAAAAAAGGGGACCCGGAGATGGATGGAGCGGAGGGAAACGGATGTATCGATTATGCTGTAAGCTGTATATATATATATAATAACGTTTGTATATATATATATGTATATATATATGTGTATATATATATATATTTATATGTACATCATATTGTATATGATAGATCATATTATATATAATAACAGTATATTATACTGATATTATATATATAATCTCATAGGATTCATCATTATATGCTGTATTTTATTATATATAGAAACCCCCAAAAGGATGCCGAACACTCGAAATACGGTTTACTTTTTGGGGTCACTATAAACATATCTATCTATGTATCGATTTATTCATTCATCTATGAATATTTGTCTATGTGTACATTTATTTATTTTTTTATTTGGACATCTATTTACTTATCCATGTGTACAGTTATTTAATGTAGGTATCACAATTTCTCTATTTACTTATTTATTTACTTGTTCATCGATTTGTTTATCTATTGTTTATTCTTTATTCGTTCATTTACATAGTATGTATTTACTTGCCTACTTATAATATTGCATATTGCTACTTGTGCAAAAGAGGCCCGCTCTCTCTCTCTCTCTCTCTTTCTCTTTCTCTACTTGCAAATCTACATATCCATACTGTGGATGGAAGAAATCCTGCACCACCTGGGATGGTAGAAAGCCTATAAATAATGGGATGTTTACAACCTATTAACTGGTGCAGGATTTCTCAACCATCCACAGTATGTTGCATTGATGTACACAGTATGTGTGAGGAATTCACCTGTGCAAATTGAGACGTCGTCCACGACATTCCACGACCGCACCTTTCAGGCCATCGCTCAGATAGTTGGATCCCTGAACCTCATCCAACCTGCCAAGGATGTCGGGGGAACTTATGGATATCTGCTTGGTGGTGCAAATGGGATTTTATGGGATTTTATGGTGACTTAATGATTATTCATGGGATCTCTATATACAGATGATAGTAGATAGGTGATCTGGTTGGTGGTGCAATAACCATCTTGAAAAATGATGGAGTTCGTCAATGGGAAGGATTATTCCATCCCATATATGAAATGGAAAATAATCCAGCTATGGATACCCTGGAGTAAACATCCAAAAAATCTGGAAAACAACCACGGTTTCCCTAGGGGAATGAAATGATCTACAAATGCTGGGTGTTCCAAGTCTATGTTTACAGGAGGCTAATCTAGTCAAAGTGGTGTCCAAATTTATTGCCCTCCTAAAATCAAACGTAGCTTGCTGGACAATTGCCAACCAAATGATTTTTTCCCATTAAAACCTCCATTTGGATCATGGATTCCCCATCGCTACGTTTTGCGGGAGGGTAAATCTATTTAATCTATTTGTTGGTGATTTCTTAGTGATTTGTGATCACATTATTTTTTGTTAGTGATTCGTGGTTTAATCATGTTTAATCTATTTCTATGTAGGCAATGTCTAAACATGGAGATCTTTTTGTGGTTTCTGCCGTAGTAATCCATGTTGTTTCGGGCCCACGATTATCCCGATTTTTGATGGGTGGATGGGATGATTGATGGGATTAGGACCCCGAAAGCCATAGCTTTTGCACCTAAAAGTTCTTGATGTTTAATTGCTATTTTGTACCCTAAAAATCGGAAAAAAAAACATGGAAAAACCTACTTAATTGCTTCAGCAAGAAGTTCTGTGGATTCTGTGGATGTTTCGCTGAAGCAATTGTGGGACCCAAAGGGTTGAAGTGACTTAGTGTTCGGCAAGTTTGGTTCCTATTGGTTTGTTGCAGTAAATAGAATGCTCAAAAACAAAACCTTTGCTGCAACAAACGGCAAAGCACCAACCCTTTGAACAACAGTTTTTGGGAACATGTTCAGATTGCTGATCAGAAACCTCAAAAACACTCATATCTTCACTAGAAATTTCGAGCCGCCAGCTGAAAATTTCAGTCCACCAGGATGTTCGTTCGAGGAATGCACCGATGATGGGGTGAAACAACCATGATATGGCGATATTTTGTTGGAAATCATTGATGGTATTTAGCCAACAATATGGCTACTGTATTTACCACAGGTCTATATAACATATAATAATGATATGATTTGTATACGACATAGATACCATCTGGTTATTTAACATAGCCATGGAAAATCACCATTTTTAATAGGTAAACCCAGGTATACCATCTATAAATGGGCCATTTTCCATGGCTATGTTAAATAACCAGAGGGTATACTACATAGTAACTACTATAGATTACTATAGCCATCATGCCATCATTTGGTCTGGCACCTGGAGTAGCCAGCCGTTGAGGCAGCGGCCACGTCGGCAGCGTCGGCATGTGCTCTGCCGCCAGCAGTTCCCATGCCGCATGGGTAATCTGAGTGTTCAACGAGCCAGCCGAGGCACTAGAAAACCCTTATAATGGATTGAATATGATTAAATACAGTATATATGCAATATTATTAAATAATATCACAATCTGTGTAGTATACAAACAATATCATACTACAATTCCTATTATTATTATCACTACAATATTAGATATGTAGTATAATAATGTATAATGTCATAATTAATATACCCATAAATAAATAGATTGTAGATGGTCAATCCTTCATAGTTGTATTATGTTTACACGACAGGTTCAACATGTCCCAGCTAACAGCCAGGGTTCACAGGTGGAGGATCATATTAGATCAACTGATTTCCAGTGTATGGATGGTTCACCAACCAGAAACCAACCCTGACAGCAAAATGATCTCTTGATCTTCCATGTCATCTCCTGCTTTGAGCAGTTGGCTCAATGGGCTGGGCTCAAGAGTCAGGGTTCTCTCAACCAGCGGTTTGGGCAGTTGCTTCCCTCTGACATGAAAGAAGCAGAACCATCCACAAGATCAACGAAAATCTCGATGCAAATCTCGCCATCACATGGGTTCCCAATAATGGGGGTGTTCAATCATGGAGGACCGCAAGATCCTCCAAAGTCCGTCACCAGTGCTTTGGGGTAAACCACTTTTGAGGGAAAAAACAAGTAAGTATATTATGTATATATAATATATATTTGTATATATATATAAGGCTGAAATATATTGAAATATAACATAACGTAACAATTCGCTAAACTTAACTAAACTGACATCACACCATTTTGGCATGGTTCTTAAATGATCATCATATCATCTGACGTCAAGGCTGCAACCGTGGCCTTTTCTCACTACCTTTGAGAGAGAGGGCATTATCATTGGTGAAATCTGCAGAGTTCACACGCTCTTCATGTGGAACTCAGCGAAAAAAATATCAACGAAATCCCCGATTTCTGGTCATGGCAAGTTGCGATTTTTGCACAGCGCTTTGGTTGGCGAACAACGCGAATAGTGAAATGTCCGCTTCTGTGAGTTCTGTTCCTATGCCGCTATTCGTGTTATACAAATGACCAGAGAATATCCACAACTCGGTCTTCGATGCTAAACCTCAGCTGAGGTCCGGCTCACTGACTTCACCTGCGTTAAAAAGACTTTGATCCAGGAAATGGACTGGCAGTTTTGTTCTTAGCCTCCTGAAAACATACAAAAAGGATCAGAAAACCCATCATGAATGTCGATCATTTTCCGGAAATCATGGGTTTTCCATATCTATATGTTAGTTTTGGGGGTCTGGTCAGTCTGGTGTGCGGATGTTCAATGTCGAACAATGTCAGGTGAAACTATAGGAAAGTTCACCACGGAATCTGCAATCTGAGGAATCCCAGCCTTGCGATGACCAGTCTCCTGAGCACTCCTCCTCCTCCTGAAGCTCTCGTAACTCCAGAGATTGCGAATCCTCTCCTGACCACTCGCCTGGAGTTGGTAGATGTCCCTGGGGATTGAAAAAAAGGGCCCCAATTTCAACGAAACGACTGGCCCCAAACGTGGGGGTTCAAAACATGTGGCTTCGATTTCTACCAAACCTTGAAGATCCTTGCAGGTGAATTTGACCCATGTTATGGGATTTTAAAGCAATTTAAAAGCCAATTGTCCCATGTTTGAACAATTGAAGATGATATCCCAACAACTATTTGGAAGTGATGCTTACAAGACACCCACTCTGGACATGTCCTATTCCGGGATGTTTGAACACTTCCAAATAAGTGAAACTGTTGGCATATCATCCCCAGCAGGCACAGGCCTGAATACTCTCCATCCCCCAACTCATCTTTCACATCCTCGGCAGGTGTCTCTCGCTGTGGAATGGGCTGATTGCCAGCCAAATTTTCAAGGAATGGGTCTGCATGGATATGTCGATTGCCAGCCAAATTTTCAAGGAATGGGTCTTCGCCTGACTGCGATTGCTCCATGGATGCGGAAGTCATACTAGGGACAGCTTCGGAGACAGAGAGGTGCTGGCAGTCTCTGGAGGGTGCTTCTGAAACCGCAGCAGGAGAAGCAGGGGAAGCAGGGGAAGTAGGTGAATCAGGACCATCATTTGATGCGACATTCTCATCGTCGTTCTTGTCTACATCTACAACTGCTATTGAAAATGTCAGTTTGTTGTCCTCATTTCCCTCTTCAAACTCCTCAGAATAATCACCAGAAACATTCGCATCTCTGCTGTGGCTGCCTCGTTCCATAGGATCACTTGCCATGCTTGCACTGCTTCTGTCCCTTCCAGGAATCCCCAAACTTTCCTCAACGTGTTCAACTTCAGCTACATCATTCTTCTGCTCCATTGGGGAATCCCTATCATCTCCAGATACCGCTCCCTCTGACCGAACAGACTCACTCGCATTTGACGAGTTTACATTGGGCTTATCTGTGCAGACTGCTCGAATCAAATGGGAAGGAGACGGAATGGACTGACTCCGATCTGACAGCGGATCTTCCCCAGCGGTTTCAGCCAGCTTTCCACCTGACTCACTTGAAGGGTTTTGCTGTGCTTGGGTCTCCTGATGATGCTGTGGTGACTGCTGCAAGTCAACAGAACACTCCTCTCCTGACCACTCGCCAGAATATTCTCCATCGCCCAACTCCTCTCTCGCATCCTCAGAATGTGTGCCATCTTGTTGATAATCGCTTTCTCCACTTTGGCCTCTTCCTCTTGATTCAGCTGGCTGGCTTTGTGCTGCATGATCCAACAAAGCCTCTCCGACAGAACGCTCCTCTCCTGACCACTCGCCAGAATAATCTCCATCGCCCAACTCCTCTTTCACATCCTCAGAATGTGTGCCATCTTGTTGATAATCGCTTTCTCCACTTTGGCCTCTTCCTCCTCTTGATTCAGCTGGCTGGCTTTGTGCAGCATGATCCAACAAAGCCTCTCCGACAGAACGCTCCTCTCCTGACCACTCGCCAGAATAATCTCCATCGCCCAACTCCTCTTTCACATCCTCAGAATGTGTGCCATCTTGTTGATCATCGCTTTCTCCACTTTGGCCTCTTCCTCCTCTTGATTCAGCTGGCTGGCTTTGTGTAGCATGATCCAACAAAGCCTCTCCGACAGAACGCTCCTCTCCTGACCACTCGCCAGAATATTCTCCATCGCCCAACTCCTCTCTCGCATCCTCAGAATGTGTGACATCTTGTTGATAATCGCTTTCTCCACTTTGGCCTCTTCCTCCTCTTGATTCAGCTGGCTGGCTTTGTGTAGCATGATCCAACAAAGCCTCTCCGACAGAACGCTCCTCTCCTGACCACTCGCCAGAATAATCTCCATCGCCCAACTCCTCTTTCACATCCTCAGAATGTGTGCCATCTTGTTGATAATTGCTTTCTCCACTTTGGCCTCTTCCTCCTCTTGATTCAGCTGGCTGGCTTTGTGCTGCATGATCCAACAAAGCCTCTCCGACAGAACGCTCCTCTCCTGACCACTCGCCAGAATATTCTCCATCGCCCAACTCCTCTCTCGCATCCTCAGAATGTGTGCCATCTTGTTGATAATTGCTTTCTCCACTTTGGCCTCTTCCTCCTCTTGATTCAGCTGGCTGGCTTTGTGCTGCATGATCCAACAAAGCCTCTCCGACAGAACGCTCCTCTCCTGACCACTCGCCAGAATATTCTCCATCGCCCAACTCCTCTCTCGCATCCTCAGAATGTGTGCCATCTTGTTGATAATTGCTTTCTCCACTTTGGCCTCTTCCTCCTCTTGATTCAGCTGGCTGGCTTTGTGTAGCATGATCCAGCAAAGCCTCTCCGACAGAACGCTCCTCTCCTGACCACTCGCCAGAATATTCTTCATCGCCCAACTCCTCTCTCGCATCCTCAGAATATGCCTTTTGGTCTTCACTGTTTGTGTGAATGGGCCGACTGCGCTCTAAATTTTCAAGGAATGGGTCTTCGCCTGACTGCGATTGCTCCATGGATGCGGAAGTCATACTAGGGACAGCTTCGGAAACAGAGAGGTGCTGGCAGTCTCTGGAAGGTGCTTCTGAAACCGCAGCAGGAGAAGCAGGGGAAGTAGGTGAATCAGGACCATCATTTGATGCGACATTCTCATCGTCGTTCTTGTCTACATCTACAACTGCTATTGAAAATGTCAGTTTGTTGTCCTCATTTCCCTCTTCAAACTCCTCAGAATAATCACCAGAAACATTCGCATCTCTGCTGTGGCTGCCTCGTTCCATAGGATCACTTGCCATACTTGCACTGCTTCTGTCCCTTCCAGGAATCCCCAAACTTTCCTCAACGTGTTCAACTTCAGCTACATCATTCTTCTGCTCCATTGGGGAATCCCTATCATCTCCAGATACCGCTCCCTCTGACCGAACAGACTCACTCACATTTGACGAGTTTACATTGGGCTTATCTGTGCAGACTGCTCGGATCAAATGGGAAGGAGACGGAATGGACTGACTCCGATCTGACAGCGGATCTTCCCCAGCGGTTTCAGCCAGCTTTCCACCTGACTCACTTGAAGGGTTTTGCTGTGCTTGGGTCTCCTGATGATGCTGTGGTGACTGCTGCAAGTCAACAGCAACTTCCAGCTGTTCCAGTTCCTCTGCTGCAGGATCGACTTTTACTCCAACAGAACGCTCTTGCAGCACCAGATCATCCATAAGATCATCATGTGCAGGATAATTATCTTCAACAGAACGCTCCTGCAATACTGCGTCATCTCCATCTTCCAATCCTTGGTGGTGACATTGCTTCAATGGGGACATCATGGGGTCATCATGGGGGATATGCTGCGGAATTGATGAAATCATACCCTTCAAGACCTATGTTGGCACCGAATGAACCACCCCTGATTGACCAATTTAAGGGGAGATACCACCGAGCTTTACTCCTGGGTTGACACAAGGGCTCCGTAGCTTCACGATTGGCTTTGTGGTATATATATATATATATCATGATCTGGTTGGTGGTTGACCTACCCCTCTGAAAAATATGAGTTCGTCAGTTGGGATGATGAAATTCCCAATATATGGAAATAAGCCCAAAGAGCATCCCCAACAGCCAGAAACAAAAACAGCTACCAAACACGCAATGGGTGAAGTATGTTTATTGCCCAGCCCTTCTTACTCTAGAGGTCGGGCGTGCAAGGCGCAATCACGGCACAAACGCTTTATGAAAAACCGGTTTTCCAAAAGCGTTTGCAATACTGTGGAAGCTGAAGGACCAATATTCCCGAAGCTTGTGAGAAGGGTTTTTCTCAAAGAACTGCTGTCCACCTCACTCTTCACTTCATCTACCTAACATACATCATCCACATCTCTTATGTCCTTTACATCACCTACATCTTCTATACCATTCTACACCATCTTCTCTACAACTACATCTACATCTACAACATCATCATCATCATCATCACCATCATCATCATCAGCAGCAGCATCATCTATCTCACCTACACCATCGACATCACCTACACAAACTTTCCCACTAACGTCATCTACATGACATACATCATCTACAACGCATACATGACCTACATCATCATCTATATCACTACATCCTCTACATCACCTACATCTTCTAGTCGATCTAACCTTACATCACTTACAACATCATCCTCATCATTTACAAAATAGACAACATCACAAAACATCAGCTACTGGTGATCAACTTCTAGGGAACTCCTACAAAACATACAAAACTGGAAAATGTCATTTACACAGGAGTTGACTTGCAGGTGATCCACTTCTACTTGAACTCCTACACGACTCCTGCAAGGTCATTTGCACAGAAATTGTTACACAGGATTTGCTACACAGGCGTTCAGCTAACTTCCAGGTGATCAAACTGTATCTGAACTCCTGCAAAATCAGACTTCTCCAGTTCTTCTATTTCTCTCTGGCGGCAGGGACGGCCAGGCGGTGGCTTACGAACCGTTACCCTCTGCGGCGTGTCGGACACCCAAACGTGTGGCGAAATGCGGGTCTTGTTTGTCCTTGAGCAACCCTCTGTGGAGATCGCGTGTGTCGGATGGGCAAACATGTGGTGTGGGGAAAGGCTTCGCCCGCAGCAACCGTCTGCGGAGATCGTGCGTCTCAGACGCCCAAACATGTGGTGGAATGTGAATTTCTTTTGGGCACGGGCAACCCTCTACAGAGATCGCGCAGGTCGGACATCCAAACATGTGGCAAAATGCAAATTTGGTGAGGCCCAGCGCAGCCCCTTCGCACGAAACGAGGGTCAACCGTCAAAAACTGGTGTAATATTGTGATTGAAAGTCCAGATGCAAGCGTGGCACGAAAGTCAAATGGCAATAACTGTGGGAAAACTATGATTTTTTTTAATGCCAGATGCAAACGTTCAAGAATTGGTGTAAAATTGCGACTTTATCCATTTTGAAACGTCAGGCACAACTGTTTCGCGCGAAATAAAACTTGTGTAAAATTGCAATTTTACAAGGTCAGGCGAAAGCCTTTCACGCAAAATGATTGTCCAAGGTCAAAATTTGCGATTTTCCAACGTCGGATGCAACCCTTTCGCACGATATGATGGCCGAACGTCAAAAACTTAAGTTAAATTGCGATTTTTTGAAGTGTAAAAGCTGCTCTGTGGAATCGGTTTTTCTGTGGGAAAGCGTCTGTGTAAAGGCTTCTCTGTGCAAAAGCTTCTGTGCGTAAAAGCCTCCGTGTGTACAAGCTTCTGTGTGTAAAGGCGTCTGTGTGTACAAGCTCCTGTGCGTAAAAGCTTCTCTGTGTAAAAGCTTCTGTGGAAAAGCTTGTGTGTGTAAAACCTTCTGTGTGTAAAAGATTCTCTGTGTAAAGGCTTCTCAGTGTCAAAGCTTCTGTGATTCTCTGAGAACAATCTGTGTCTAAAAGCTTCTGTGTGTATAGGCGTGTATATGTCAAAGCATCTCTGGGTAAATGCTTCTGTGTGTAAAAGCATCTGTGCTCAAAAGCTTCTGTGTGTAGAAGCATCTGCCGCATCTGTGTGAAGAACTTTTGTGTAAATGCCTCTGTGTAAAGACCTGTCTGTGTAAAAGCTTGGGCATTTGCGTGTTTAAAGTTGCAAAGGCCTCTCTCTGTGTAAAAGCTTCGGTGTGTAAAAGCTGCTCTGTGAACAAGCTTCTATGCGTAAAAGCTTCTGTGTGTAAAAGCTCTGTGTGTAAAGGCGTGTGTGTGTAAAGCTTTTGTGTGTAAATGCTTCTGTGTATAAAAGATGCTCTGTGTAGAGGCTTCTCTCTGTAAAAGCTTCTCTGTGTAAAGCTTCTGTGTAAAGACTTCTGTGCGTAAAAGCTTCTGTGTGTAAAGGCCTCTATGTGTAAAAGCGTTGTTGTAGAAAAGCTTCTTTGTGTAAAGGCGTCTGTGTGCAAAAGCCGCTCTGTGTAAAAGTTGCTCTGTGTAACGGCTTCTCTGTGTAGAGCGTCTGTGTGTCAAAGCTGCTCTGTGTACAGGCGTCTGTGTGTAAAAGCTTCTGTGTGTACAAGCTTCTCTGTGTCAAGGCCTCTCTACGTCAAAGCTTCGGTGTGTAAAAGCTGCTCCGCGTAAACGCTGGTCTGTGAAAACAAACCTGAGTATAAAAGCTGGTCCGCGCAAAGGCTTCTCTGTGTGAAAGCTGCTGTATGTAAAAACCGTTTGTGCGCAAAATTCCTTCCCGCAAACGCTTGTCTTTGAGAAAGCTTCTCTGTGCAAAATCTTCTCTGCGGAAGAGCTTCTGTGAGTAAAAGCTGCTCTGTTTGTAAAGGCTTCTCTGAGTAAAAGCTTCTGTGTGTAAAAGCTTCTGTTTGTAAAGGCATCTCTGTGCAAAGTTTCTGTGTAAAAGCTTTCTTGTGAAAAGGCTGTAAAAGTTTCTGTGTCTAAAAGCTTCTTTTTGTAAGGCGTGTGTGTGCAAAAGCTCCTGTGTGTAAAAGCTTGGGCATCTGCGCGCTAAAGTTCCCGTGTGTAAAAGCTTCTTTGTGAAAAAGTGTCTGTGTGTAAAGCTGCTCTGTGTAAAGGCCTCATGTGATAAGGCTTCTTTAGAAAAGGTTTTTCTGTGTAAAAGCGTCTGTGTAAAAGCTGCTCTGTGTAAATCCCTCTCTGTGCAAAGGGTTCTGTGTGTAAAATCTTCTCTGTGTAATTTTTTCGCTGTAAAAAAACATGTCTTTTGATTCTGACTGTCGCTCAGGTGCCAGCCCTGGAGCAAACCCTCTGCGGGGACAAAAAAGGCATGAAACCGTGGATATGTGACATTTGACTCGCGTCAGCTATCATTCATCATCATCTCCATCGCCATTCATCCTCGTCATCATCATTGTCGTCATCATCATCACCATCATCATCATTTTTCTTGTCTCCTCCCTCCTGCTTTCTTTCAGGCCACGCTGTCGTCTAGTGTTTTTATCCATGTGCGGGTGCCGTATCATTTTTTGAAGCAAAACAAAGTCTTCAATCTCTCCGTTCCGTTATTAGAACAATTCTTCAACCTTTGCAGTATTCTGTTGTTCAATGTTCTTGGAACCTTGCCTGGGCAACTGTTCTTGGATACGTTGCTTGACACTTGTTTATCTGAACCTTGCTTGGGAACCTGTTCTTGGGAGCCTTGCTTGGGAACCTGTTCTTGGGAGCCTATTCTTAGGAACCTGCTCTTGGGAGCATTGCCTGATAACCTGTTCTTGGGAACTTTGTCTTGGGAACCTGTTCTTGGAAACTTTGCCTGCTTGCTTCAAACCTGTTCATTGGGACCTTGCTCGGGAACCTGTTTTTCGCAACTTTGCTTGGGAACCTTGTTTAGGAACCTGTCCTTCGGAACCTTGCTTGGGATTCTGTTCTTGCTTCCAACCTTGCTTGCAGCTGTTCTTCGATATTTTATGAAATTTTGCTGTCCAAGTTGTTCTTCCTGGGAACATGAGCAACCTGTTCTTGCGAACCTTGCTTGGGAACCTGTTCGTTGAACCTTTCTTGCAACATTGCTTTGGAACCTTTCTTGACAACCTTGCCCGTCAACCTATTATTCGAAACCTTGCTGGCGAAACTGTGATTGAAAGCCTTGCTGAGGAACCTTGCTTTGAAACCATGCTTGGGAACGTGTTCGTGGGAACCATGCTGGCAACCTATTGCTCAGAACCTTCCTAGAGAATTTGTTCTTGGAACCCGAACCTGTTCTTGCAAAGCTTGCTTGTAAACCTGTCCTTGGGAACCTTGCTTGGGGACCTGTTCGTGGAAACCTTGCTTGGGAACCTGTTCCCAAGGACCTTGCTTAGTCCAACCTTGCTACCCTGCAAGGAAACCTGTTCTTGGAACCCTTGCTTCGGAACTTGAGGCACTGTTCTTGGAACCCTTGCTTGTGAACCTGTTCTTGTGAACCTTGCTTGAAAACTTGTTCCTGGAAATATTGCTTGGGAACCAGCTCTTCCTGGGAACGCTTGCTTGAGAACCTGTTCCTGCGAGCCTTGTTCCTGCTTGGAACCTTGCTTGGAAACGGTTCCTGGGACCTTGCTTGGGAACCGTTTTCGGGAACCGCACTTGCAAGCGGTTCCTAAGAAGTTAACCTTGCTTCGGAACCTCTTCCTGGATACCTGCTTGGGAGCCTCTTCCTGGGAACTTGCTTGGGAACCTGTCCTCGGAACCCTTGCTTGAGAACCTCTTCCTAGCAACCTTGCTTGAGAACCTCTTCCTAGCAACCTTGCTTGAGAAGCGGTTCCTGGGAACCTTGCTTGGGAACCTTTTCCTGGAAACCTTGCCTGGGAACTTTTTCCGGAAACCTTACTTGTGAACCTGTTCTTGGGAAACTTGTTTGGGAACCTGTTCCTGGGAACCTGTTGCTGGGAACCTTGCTTGGGAACCTTGCGTAGTGCGGATTTCGCTGCTCCGACCAGCTCCAAGACCTTCACTATGGCTGAAGGCCCCAAGCTTACGCTGTTGGGAACCTTTACAATCTAACCTTGGGCACCTTGAGAATCTTTACTTGGAAACCTTGGGCACTTTGAGGGAACCTTGAGGGACCTTTACAATCTAACCTTGGGAACCTTGAGGGAACCTTTACAATCTAACCTTGGGAACCTTGAGGGAAACTTTACAATCTAACCTTTGGAATCTTATAGAAATTTTTACAATGTCACCTTGGGAACCTGGACAACGTCTACTTGGGAACCTTTACATAATAACCTTGGGAACCTTGACAGCCTTTACTTGGAAAACTTGGGAACCTTGAGGGAACCTTTACAATGCAACCTTGGGAACCTTGACAACCTTTACAATGTAACTTTGGGAACCTTGGGAACCTTTACAATGCAACCTTGGGAGCCTTGACAACCTTTACTTGGAAACCTTGGGAACCTTCAGGCAGCCTTGAGGTAACCTTTACAATGCAACCTTAGGAACCTTGAGAACGCTTACTTGGGAACCTTGGAAACCTTGAGGGAACCTTTACAATCTAACCTTGGGAACCTTGACGGAACCTGAACCTTGGGAACCTTGGGAACCTTGGGAACCTTGAGGGAACCTTGAGGGAACCTTGAGGGAACCTTGAGGGAACCTTGAGGGAACCTTGAGGGAACCTTGGGAACCATGGGAACCTTGGAAACCTTGAGGTAACCTTGAGGTAACCTTGGGAACCTTGGGAACCTTGGAAACCTTAGGAACCTTAGGAACCTTGGAACCCTTGGGAACCATGGGAACCTTGGAAACCTTAGGAACCTTAGGAACCCTGGAACCTTGGGAACCTTGGGAACCTTGGAAACCTTGGGAACCTTGGGAACCTTGCGTACCTTGGGAACCTTGGCAACCCTGGGAACCTTGGGAACCTTGCGTACCTTGGGAACCTGGGCAACCCTGGGAACCTTGGGAACCTTGGGAACCTTGGGAACCTTGGGAACCTTGGGAACCTTGGGAACCTTGGAAACCTTAGGAACCTTGGAACCCTTGGGAACCTTGGAAACCTTAGGAACCTTAGGAACCTTGGAACCTTGGGAACCTTGGGAACCTTGGAAACCTTGGGAACCTTGGGAACCTTTACTTCGGAACCTTTACTTGGGAACCTTGGGGGAATGGGTTTTGGAGCTGCTCCGGTCTGCTCCGAAACCTTTACTATGGCTGAAGACCCCAATGCTCCGAAACCTTTACTATGGCTGAAGACCCCAAAGCTTCTGCTGTTGGGGAAAAATTGGAAAAATAAAACATGTTCCAAACCACCAACCAGTGATATATCGAGCTAGTTTCACCGGGTGAAACTAAACCAACAAACGTTTCTCTGGGCACCACATCCCATGATTCACCACAGTAGTTCCCTGTTCAACCATCCATGAAACCCCATTGAACACAAGAAATTGTGGCTATTGAACCCCCACCCCAACCCCACAGATCTCTGAAAATCATAATTCTCCCGATTGTTTAAACCCATAAACATCATTCGAAAGCCAGTAAACACTTGAAATATCTTGAAAATCATGGTCCAATCAACTTCCAACAACCCAACATCAACTCCTCAAAAATCTTACCCAACCATGCCAGGTTTCGGCCATCCGTGGCAGGGCTCTCTTCGCGATGCCAGCCCATGTCCAAATCGCAGGGCAAGGTGTCGCGCAAATCGTTGCCACCCATCGTGGAGACGGAGCACCTCGGCAGCGGCTCAGGCAGCGTGTTGTCGCCTGGCGCCGTGCGCAATGCGATTTATGGAGTTCATGGGGATTTTTAATGGCATACACACCCATGATAAGATAATGTGTCAGGGTTGTGGGGTCACATATATTTACATACGATTAGGATGATTGGATGGAGTGTAAAGCCGATCATGCCGAGAGGATATAAATTGGAATATAACGGGATGGGATTGACCAGCAATCTGATACTTGGGGTCCAAGAATTTGGGGATACTGGCTTGTTTATGGAAAAAATGACGATAAACCATTGGGTTTGGGGGTGCCAAATGTTCAGACTAACCCATAGAGGTTTGTCCGTCCAAAAATTGTGGGAGATCGATGTGTAAAATGGTGAGTTCAATGGAAAAGCCTATTGGTACACGTGAAACGGAAGGGGGTAAGTGAAGAGTCTGGGAAGGCCAAGTCTGAAAAGTCTGAAAAAGTCTGCACAGTCAAAAGTCAAACGTAGTCATCATCAAGATCTTCTTCTTCATCTTCATCACCATGACCACCATCAGCATCAGCATCAGTGTCATCGTCATCGTCGTCGTCGTCCTTATCATTATCAGTATCAGTATTCTGATAGATTATCATCAAATGATTTCGAACATCAATAATACAGAAAGCAGTGATCAATATTATGATATATAATCACAGTTTCATGATCTGATAGTCATTATCAGAATCATTGCTCTCCCAAAAACCAACATATATGTGGAAAACCCTTTGTAAATCATTGTAAACATGGTAAACCGTAAACCATCGGTGTTTTCCATATCTATGTTTGTCTACCCTAGCCCGCTTATTGAGTTATTATCAACATTGGAATGACTGGAGGTCGAATGCCACACCTTGGGCTTGCTCTTGCTCAGCTGTCAGGTCTGACTTTTCGCCTGGCGATGCACAACTTGAAGAAGTTAGTATGGATCGGGACATCAATTGGGGTAATAGTGACTTAAATTTTATATATAACTGACATACAACTGGTAAAAACTGATACAAAACTTATTTAACCTTGGGATACTTTGGGCACGATGGGAATTTCATTCAGAACCATGAATTCT